TGCGTTGCCTTCGTGCCGTGCCGTGCCGTGCCGTGTAAAAAAAGAACTACAAAGTGTAGAAATTAGCTTCTCTTAAAAATTCCGTTTTCAGATCCCATAACTTCAAACTCACAAAAGCACTCTCCATTTCCCCCCTTTCCTCCCCCCCAGACTGCATTTCTTGTCTGTTGGTTGCCTTGCCTTGCCTTCGTGCCGTGCGGTGCAAAAAAAGAACTATAAATTATACAAATTAGCTTCTCTTAAATATTCCACCATTAAAAAAAAATTTCTGCATTTTCAGATCCCACAACTTCAAACGCACAAAAGCACTCTCCATTTCCCCCCCTTCCTCCCCCCCCCCAGACTGCATTTCTTGTCTGTTGGTTGCCTTGCCTTGCCTTCGTGTCGTGCGGTGCAAAAAAAGTACTACAAACTATACAAATTACCTTCCCTTAAATATTCCACCATTAAAAAAAGACCTCTGCATTTTCAGATCCCACAACGTCAAACTCACAAAAGCACTCTCCATCTCCCTCCCTTCCTCCCCCCCCCCCCAGTGCCTTACCTCCAGCCGATACTGCATTTCTTGCCTGTTGGCTGCGTTTCGTTGCGTTGCCCAGCGTTGCGTTGCCCAGCGTTGCGTTGCCCAGCGTTGCGTTGCCCAGCGTTGCGTTGCCACCAGTTGTACATCGCCTCACAAGCTGCCGGCTTCCTTGCCGGCTTGCTTGCCTAATTATATACCCAAGGCTGTTGCTGTCTCCGCCCCCTCCTACTACGCTTGCCTGAGCAGGGCTGCTACTACCTGCCCCAGGTGGTATGCATACCCACCGGTTAATCATAATAGAGTGACGGGAGGCACCGAAGAAGGAAACCCGTTTCCAAATGCCTTAAACCGAGTTAAAAAGGCCGATGATGGCCTCGGTGCTAATGGTATGGGACAGAAAACATCGCTCTCCTGTGGTCAAGGCAGGGGTAGCAGCCACACGAGGAAATAAACGTTACCCCAAAGAGGGCAAAAAAGTCATCAGAATGCAAATTTTCTTAACTAGAACATTTGCAAAGAGCCTTTTTGCCTACATCTGTGCCCGTTCTGCAGCCCCTGGGCCTCCCGTTGTTCTATTAATACAAATAACAGGGCTTCTCATAATAAAGATGCAGAATAATAACTTTAAAATCCCATTGAATGCAGCCTTATGTTAGCCTTACTCTTTTCTAACCCCCAAAGTGGGCCAAAAGTCGGGCCCTAATATTTCCTTAGCCCAAAGAGGGCAAAAAAGTCAGGATTTCCCAAGATAGGACAGGCTAGGTTGGTCAGTTTGGGGGCAAAGTTATCAGAATGCAGCCTTATGTCGACCTTACTCTTTTCTAACTAGAAAATTTGCAAAGAGCCTTTTTCCCTGGCAGCGTACCAGAGTGATGTAATGTTGTAGCCAGAACCAACTCGGGACGCAGGCTTTGCAATAGGCTTTATGTAGGGACCAGATGCCCTGGTCCCTGCACCGTTCCAGGTTAAGTGTTGAAATCAGAACTTTGATTGAAGAATCAGTCAGAGGCCAACATAACCAGCCCTGGGAGCCTGGGAACCAGCATTAACGGTCGTAAAGTGAGGCTTACCTATAGTGTATAGCTTTACAATTGCACACCAAGTGTATTTATCTTCCAGGATCAAAGAATATAATAATAATAACAACAACAACAACAACAACATTGGAAGGGACCTTGGGGGTCATCTGGTCCAACCTCCTGCTCAGGCAGGAAACCTTATACCATTTTGGACAAATGGCTGTCCAGTCTCTTCTTAAAAACTTCCAGTGTTGGAGCATTTACAGCTTCTGGAGGCAGGTGGTTCCACTGGCCAATTGTTGTCACTGTCAGGAAGTTTCTCCTTAGTTCTAGTTTGCGTCTCTCCTTGTTCTCCAAAGCTCCTTCAGGGACTTTGGAGAACAGCTTGACTGCCTCTTCTTTGGGGCAACCCCTGAGATCTTGGAAGACTGTTTTAATGTCCCCCCCCCCCATCCTTCTCTTTTTTAAACTAGACAGACACAATTCCAGCAACCGTTCCTCCTATGTTTTAGCCCCCAGTCCCCTAATCATCTTTGTTGCTCTTCTCTGCACTCTTTCTAGAGTCTCAACATCTTTTTTACATTGTGGTGACCAAAACTGGATGCAGGATCCCAAGTGTGGCCTTACCAAGGCCTTGTAAAGTGGTATTAACACTTCACATGATCTTGATTCTATCCCTCTGTTAATGCAGCCCAGCACTGTGTTGGCTTTTTTGGCAGCTGCAGCACACTGCTGGCTCCTATTTAAGGGACTATCCACTAGGACTCAGAGATCTCTCTCACAGTTACTACTATTGAGCCAGGTACCCCCTATACTATACCTGTATATTTGGTTTTTCTTGCCTAAATGTAGAACCTTTACTTTTTTCATCATTGAATTTTATATGTGGTTGTTGTTGTTTTTGGTAAACACAACCTGCAGTGTCTTGATGACTGGAATTAAATTCTTTTTTCCTCATTTGGGAATTAAATTACTGTATGTTTTAGGTCTTGTTTTTTTTTAAAAAAAGAAAAGATTACAGGTAATCATTTACCCCCAAATTTCTATTTTTAAAGTGAGTTTTGCTCCATTTTATGACCTTTACTGCCCTAGTTGTTAAGCAAATCATTGCTTATGTTAAGTTAGTAACACGGTTGTTAAGTAAATCCAGCTTCTCCGTTTTGTACATTAAAGTTTTTGTTTTAATTAGTGAAACAGTTATCATCTTCAGTGTAACAAGCTGAAAAATACAGCAATCCGATAGAAGACTGAGGTAACAAAATACTTCAACAAATAAGAAAAAATAAGTAAACAGAACTTAAAAAAGACTTCCACAGGAGGGTGAAAACTTCAGTAGTTCATCTGGAAGGGGGACAATTCACAAGGAGTGAGAGATGAGAGGCCTGTACAATAAAATGCCATGCAGTGGACCACTGGAAATATGGCTAAAAAGGGAGGTGAAAAAATTAAAATTGTGCAACGGGTCTCACCAAAGGGAAAACTAAACAAAAGCAAAGTCTAGAAATGGGTTTAAACCACAAAGATGAAAACGGCTGAAGATCAGATACTATTGTTTCTGCTTCCATCGAGTGCTACGTGGAAAAAAAACAAAAGCAAAAACCAATCCACCATGCATTTTGGCACTAAGTTTACACAAGCGAATAAATTAAGAATAAATAACGTTGCCTCGATACAGCTACACAAATTGTCATTGTGGAAATCGACGGGGACCATATTTGCAAAATTAAAAAAAGAAAATAATGGTTAAACGGTGGTCAGTTCCACAGAGCGACCTACTCTGGGATGGACAGGGCAAGGCTTCAAAGGCAAAAAACCTTCTTTGGAGCATGGACATGTTCACATGTACACCGTTCTGTGCTCCTTCAACCAAAGGCATCTTCGTCTGGAGCTATTTCACCTCGCTGGACTGCGAAGAAGACAAACCCAGTTGAAGGAGCTTCACGGAGGTACGATGTGAACAGGATGCTCCAAGTGTCTTTTTGTGTTTACATTGGATGTACGGCACAGCTCCAGTTGACCTCACAACCCGCCCTTCCCATCTTGTGGCTCTCCTTGGAACCATCTCATCCACGCCAGCTCTGAAGGCCGTTTTCAAAGTTGAAAACTTCATTTACCAAGCTTTGGCCGTGCCATTGTTGGACCGGGCGTACGAGAACATCCGTAACACCCTCAGAGGGGGTGTGGGGCTCTGGATGAGGGTCTTCTCTGGCAGAGACTCTATTTTAAACAGTTACCGATATGCACCCCTTAAATTCACAGTCAAAAATGCACCAAAAATGTAAAAAAAAACAAAAACAAAACAGCTAAATAGAATCCTTTAGAGGCAATGTCGTTGGAATGTAGCATTACATCATATCTGGCACAATGTCAGGCAAAAGGCAGAAAGGCCAGGTTTTCCCTAGAAATAAAACCAAGGTAGGAAGGAAAGAAAGAAGGAAAAAAGAAAAGAGAGAAGGAAGGAAGGATGGATAAAAAGAAAGAGAAAGAAAAGAAGGAAAGAAAAATGAAAGAGATGGAAGGAAGGAAAGAAAAAGAAGGGAAGAAAGGAAGGAAAGAAAAATGAAAGAGATGGAAGGAAAGAAAGAAAGAAAAAGAAAAGGGAAGAAAGGAAGGAAGGAAGGAAAGAAAGAGAAGGAAGGATAAAAGGAAGGAAGGAAAGAAAGAAAAAGAAAGAATAAAGAAAGAAAAAGGAAAAAGGGAAAAAAGGAAGGAAGCAGAGAAAAAAGCAAGAAAGAAAGGGAAGAAAGAAAAACGAAAGAGATGGAATGAAAGAAGGAAGAAACAGAAAAGAGAGAAGGAAAAGAAAGAAAGAAAAAGTAAAGGGAGGAAGGAAGGAAAGAAAGAAAAATGAAAGAGATGGAAGGAAAGAAAGAAAAAGAAAAGAAGGGAAGAAAGGAAGGAAGGAAGGAAATAAAAATGAAAGAGATGGAAGGAATGAAGGAAGGAAGGAAGGAAAGAAAGAGAAGGAAGGATAAAAGGAAGGAAAGAAAAAGGAAGAATAAAGAAAGAAAAAGGAAAAAGGGAAAAAAAGGAAGGAAGCAGAGAAAAAAGCAAGAAAATAAGAAAGGGAAGAAAGGAAGAAAGAAAAACGAGAGATGGAACGAAAGAAGGAAAGAAAGAAACAGAAAAGAGAGAAGGAAAGGAAAGAAAGAAAAAAAGGGAAGAAGGAAGGAAAGAGATGAAAGGAAGAAAGGAAAGAGAAAAGGAAAAGAAAGGTAGATAGGGAAAAAAACAAAAAACTATGAGGGAGGAAAGAAAAGATAAAAAAAGAGGAGAGGGAAGAAAGGAGTGAATGAAAGGAGGGAGAATAAAGAAAAGAGAAGGAAGCAGAAATGAGGAAGAAAGAAAGGAAAGCAAAGAAGGAAGGAAGAAGGAAAAGAAGGAGGGAGGGAAAAAGGTCCTCGCAGAGAATGTCCTGGCTGTGCTGGACGATCAGGTTGACGCCATGCTTCCTAGCGGTGCATACAGCCTGCCTCATTTTATTGACTGATCATAAATACGAGTGTCAGATCACACTTTTTTCCCCACCATCTTCCATATTAACGTGAACGAAGGTTTTTGCAAAAGTTCAATACTCCTAGACATAGTTGTGATGAATCTTATCCACGCAGTCTGGCCTGTGCACTCTTTCCATGGTCAAGAGAAAGAAAGGGTGCATAAGCCCCATTTACTCTGCCTCGAGTGAGCAAAAGAGCCCCCCGTTTCTTCCCCTCATCCAAGTACATTTCTATCCCTCTCAAATCCTTTCCTCTGCAAGAGAAACGGGGAAAATAGCCCCAAACAACTCCCAAATCCATTCTACAGGCATTTGTAGTTCACCAATCCTGTTTCTGGGATTAGGTCAATGTCCGAAGGGATCCACAGGGGAATGAATCCCTAGTTCCGATGAATTTTTTTCTCTTTTTCTTCGTTATCCAGTCCCAAAACTGGCCCCCCGACCATTTCTTAGCGTCACTCAGCGTTTGCGGATCAAAATGTCCCAGCTATCCTTCCAGCGTAGAGCTTGTAACTCGGCTTTTGAGAGGGCCGGCTTGCCGTAGGTGAGGGGCTGGAACGTATGGTACGTAAGGTAGACGGAAGATAACCAAGCTGCTACTAAAGCACTGTGCATGCTCTTGGAAAGCCTGGACCTGTGGAGAAGAAGAGGGAGATAAGCATAACAAGAGATGCCAAGACTCTAAAAAGAATGCAGAGAAAAGCAACAAGGATGATTAGGCTAAAACATACAAGGAACAGTTGCTGGAATTGGGAATGTCTAGTTTAAGGAAGAGAAGGACGAGGGGGGACATGATAGCAGCGTTCCAGTATCTCAAGGGCTGCTCCAAAGAAGAGGGAGTCAAGCTCTTCTCCAAAGCCCCTGAAGGCAGGAGAAGAAGCGATGGAGGGAAACTCATCAAGGAGAGAAGAAACCTGAAATTAAGGAAAAACCTCCTAACAGTGAGAACAATTAATCTGTGGAACAGAAATTGCCTTCAGAAGTTGTGGCTGCTCCAGCACTGGAGGTTTTTGAGAAGAGACTGGACAACTATTTGTCCGAAATTGTGTTGGGCAAGGGGTTGGACTAGAAGACCTCCAGGGTCCCTTTCAATAGTCATTAAATGTGAAAAACAATTGTAACTCCCTTTTTTTTAGTGCCGTGGTAAGTTCTAACGGCCACTAAATGAATGGTGGCGAGTATGCATCTTTTGTGTTTTCTTCCTTTTGCTTTTCTTCTTAGCGTGGGATGATTTTGAAAGCATTATTTAAAAAAAAAAATAATGGAAACAAAGAAAGAAGAGGTCGGCTCAAGCTGTCCTACCTGCAGAGGAAGTCGCTCGTGTGCTGCAGAACAACGGGAATCAGGAGTATTTGGAAAGTAACGGCTGGCAGATAGTGGTAAAGGAAGAGGGTCTTCTCCATCAGGAAGAAAGGCAGGTAGTTCACAGCCCATCCGCCCACACAGATCCCTCCGGCCAGGAGCCACTGCTGCCAGGTCTCTGGAGAAACAGGACGGGGCAGGGAAGCAGGCACGTTGGTTCCTCGGTCTTGGGAAATGCAGAAGGGCAGGACAAAAAGTGGACCTGGAGGCATTTTAACCACCTGCAGGATGGGGGGGGGGGCAGCGAAGGCCAAACTGAGGGGGGCTGCCCTGGCAAGAGCGGGTGAAAACTCCTGCAGGAGACGAAAATCAGCACACGGCTGAAATCCCTCGGATTAAAGCCCATTTTCAGCTGGAGCAATGGCCTCCCCCAGGTTTTTACAACTGGTCTTCCCCAACTCAATTCAGGGGCCTTGGGTGGAAAATCAAGATGGGTTTGGAAGGTGCAGACCGTCAGGGATATCCTGGATATTCCGCTGTCGACGTAGCAGGTACCCCAGGAACAAAACCAGGTAGACGACGGTGGCCACGTTGGCTGATGTCCAGCTGACCACATTGCCCAGGAGGTGAATTTGAGCCTGGCCAGGAAAGATCAAGGTGTTTTGAGTTGTGATCGGAAAGTAAAGCCCGCTTAAGCTCTTCCTTGCTCGGCTACCCCACGGGAATGACTAGTTATCCACATGGCAGCCTTTCCGTGGAAATGCCATTTGAGGGCTTCCAGAAAGACGTGGTGAATTAGCACTCTGCATGTTCCCCACTCCGCAGACCGTGGAGGGCATTGCTACTAGTCCTCAACTCACAACCATTCATTTAGTGAATGGTTCGCTTCAACGGTGCTGAAAATGTGACTTATGACCGTTTTTTTCAGCCTTCTCTAAAGTCCCACCAGCCAGTTTCATAACTTGGAACTGTAGACTTCAAGAGACATTTTGAATTGGGGGGGGGGGGGAGGCTGTATCACTTGCTTAGGAACGGAAATTTTGGGTTCAGTTGAGGACTAAAAAGACAACTGGATATGCCAAAATTCTCTCTGGAACAAAGGGAGATCTGGAGATTGCCCCTATGTATTCCAGGAAACATGATTCACCCATGTAACAATCCAGTAAAATTACCCCTGAGCTGGAATGGAACCAGTAAGCAATGTTGGTCTCCAGAGTGATCCAATCCAAGGGGGATGAGCTGTATTTATGTTCCGTGTCCTCGTTCTTCAGGGTAAGGATTTTCCACTAGAACAAAACAGAGGAATTGGGTTTCCTGAATATCAGTGCAAGCTACTAGTGATACAGCCCCTAATTCAAAATGTCTCTTGAAGTCTACAACTCCCAAGTTGTGAAACCAGCTGGCGGGATTTACACAACGTGCTTAACAGTCTGGTTTCTCAGCTGCTACATATTTTTACAACTGTGACCCTAAGGGTTTTGAATTTTCTTTTAAATACTCTTCCCCACCCAGAATCATTTGCTGAGATGGTCGGCTAAATACATTGCCAAAAACAATACATTAATTTCAATTCCCAGAATCCCCTGGATAAGCATAGCCATTGCTGAGAATTCTGGGAACCGAAGTCCACCCTATGACTTTCTCGAAGGCTGACTTTCTAGCCCCTTTCTTTCACCTGCAGCTCGGTGAACTTGGCAACGAAGGTGAGGTTCTGGCTGATGTTGATCTGAGTAGGCAGGTGCAGTTCTACCTCTCTCTCTTTCTGTTCATGGCCTGGAAAAGATTAAAACCAAAGAGACCTTAAAAAAACCAGGTTAATTGGGGCCATTCTCCCGCAAGCCTTTGGGGGTGTTCTCACTTAGCAACATAACTCAATTGTGGTCATTAAGTCAAGGACTTCCTGTACAGGTCTGGAGCGGGACGTTTGAAAAAAGTCTTTCCAGAACTTTGCAGAAAAACAAACCCTGGATTAATGTCCAAAGACTTCTTAAGTTTCTTAAAAACTAACTTTTTCCATATCGGTGTTCCTCCACGTTCCACAACATGCTTTGATGATACCCCTTGGAGATCTTCTCGCCAATCACCTCCAGTTGTCGGTACCCCCATTCGGGGAGGGAGGCTCCGCTGAGCTGGCGGTGAGAAAGAACAGAAGGGTTAAAAAAAAAAAAAGAGGCTTAAAATGCCAACCAGGGTTCAACAGGTTGAAGGATCTGGGAAGCCCCATCTATCTGAATCAGTGGGGTGGTGCTACATCAGCCCTTCGAGGTAGTCCAGACCAGAGACACAACCGTAAATGCTAATACTTTATTGTAAGATTACATTAACAGAATCTTGCAACGCTGGATGGATGTGTGCCCTCTTTTTCTTATACTGTCTGGAAAACTAGGGGGGGGGGGTCCCTTCTGAGATGCTTCCCACGCCCCTTTTCCTTCTGTGGGCTGAGCAGGGGGTTGGACTGGAAGACCTCCAAGATCTCTTCCAGATCTGTTCTGACTACATCCACCATCGGCTACAAGAAAGAGGCCGAGACCCCAAGCCCACTCACCTTTAACACGGCCGATGTGTTGATGTGGACCAGTCTGACTTCGGACAGGATCGTTTTCCAAATCTCATTATCCGAGTCGCGATTCACAATTTCCTGTGGGATTGAAAGATACGCTTCCTGATGCTGTAGGCTGCCTTGATTGTTCCTGCCACTATGAAGTGGTATATTGCTATGTTTAATTTAATTTTATTTTTTTTAGTTCAGCCCAACTTTTATCAACTGCTTTAAATTCTACAGCCTGGCCCTTACCACTCTCCAGAGATTCTGAGCTGGCATGGAAATGTTGTAATCGATGTAACAGGATATCTCTTGGGAGTGTGGGCTGAGGGGCGCAGCCACATCGTGCCTGCAGGATGGAGAATGCAACAGAAGAGAATTTTTGCAGCTCAGGGTTGAACTGTGAGGCGCTCTTTGTGCTTGGTGGTTTTCTTACAGACGTTTCATTACCCAACTAGGTAACATCATCAGTGCTAGAAAGGAAGGAGTGGAAGAGGAGGAGGAGGAGGAGGTGGTAAACAAGGACTGTGGGATCCTTGATGCTCTCTGAGTTTGGTTGTTTTCTTGCAGACATTTCACTACCCAATTAGGTAACATCATCAGTACTAGAAGGTGGGGGGGGGGACACCAAGTAGCAGTCAGGAGACAGGATGAAAACTCCTTCATTTCACAACACATGGACGGACTTAACCATAGTCCCAGCACGCTAGAGAATTCCTGGAAGTCCAGCATTCAGACAATACTCCCCTGACTGCTGAGGAATTAGGGAGGGTCTCTTTCGATCCCTTTGCCCAGCCCATCGTACGACTGAAGGCTAAGCTGCCTCTTATCTGACCAGCCCCTTGGCGGCATCGCTAGACCCAGTCTCCAAAGCCATTCACACATACAATTACAGCCATGTCCAGAAGACACACAAAGAAGAAAGAGCTTACGTGTTAAGGTAACGGGTGGTGATTCCATGGACCAGTTGCACGATGTTGCCGTGTCGCACAGGTCGTGGTGGGTTGCTAGCTACCAGTTGCTGCCTGTTTGGGAGAGGCAGAAAAGCAGAGGCAAAATGAACCGATAAAATCAAAGTGTATCAACCCATAAAAAATGTTATTATTTATTCCTTTTATTATCTTTGTTACTTCCCCCTTTTATTGGTATTATTATTATTATTTTCTCTGTTGCTTTGCAACTATACTGAGTGACAAATTCCTTGGCCAAATAAAGTACACTAGTCCTTGACTTACGAACACCATTGAGCCCAAAATTCAGGTTGCTGAGTGCATTCTGCCCCATTTGATGAACCTTGTAACTTTGAACGGTCCCTAAATGAACTGCTGTAAAGGGAGGACTACCTGAAGAGGCTTACCTTCCAGGGTCCTTCACGATCCACCAGTTGTTCACATCCTTAAAAGGATAGCAGGTCACCTGCTGTTGGTGGGAACTTCCCCGCCCATTTTCATACCTAGGGAAGATACGGAGGAAATGGGATATTTTTCTTGGCAGGAAAAAAGAGCTCTTTTTAGGTCACAGAAAAAAGATTTGTTTTCTCCATTTAATAGGAAGAGAAGACAAGAGATCTCAGCTCTTGGAGGGCGGCTAGAAGACAAAGGAAAAGATTTTAGGGGTCTGAGCTTGGTGGGTTTGGCCTCATCCCTGGGAGCCTGGCATACTTCCAAATTGGCCATCGACGGGCACAGAGACATAAACAATCTCTACATATCATTAAAAAAAAAGACAATCATTAGGCCAAAAAGAGCAGAATGAGCAGAAATGAACATCAAGATTAACATGAGACTAACCACCAAGAAGCAAAGGATGTCCTCCATCAAGGAACTGCCAAACAAGCTAATAGTAAATTTAGCAAAATAGTACAAATAAAGTTTGGCCACTTCTCCGCAGCCTTGTGCTCTTTTCTTTGGCAGAAATTCTACGCCAAAGAAAACAGCATCTCCTGGAGATGGGGCCCATGGTGGGACAGGCAGACGGGATGTTGTACACAACATCCCGTCTGCCAACAATAAGCTCTCCCCTTCTCACCTGATGGGATAGGTATTCCGGTGAGAATGAAGCCAACACGGCAAGGGTTTGCCCAAAGTATTCCTCAAAGTAATCTGGGAACCATAAGCCACTTCCAAGGGCTGCCCCTGAGTGATGCGCGAAAGCCCTCCCTAAAAAAAAAATTAAAAAAATACATAGAGTGTTGGTTACACAATCCGGAAGCATAAAACCATCAGCCTAATTTTATTTTAAAAAATTAGCAGATTCTAGCGATAGCCACATCAAGAGATGTGTCAACGCTGCTAATATTGAATATTCTTGCTTTGACAAAATATGTAGAACTGTCTGGCACTTTTAGAGTTAATTCAGATGAGAAAGAGAGAGAAGAGAAAAGCCCAGGGAAGGGAACAGAAGTGAATCTTTGCCCTCCAGGTTAATTGGAAGATGTGAATCATGACCCCAAAATAGCGGAGGGGAAAAGCCTGGAATGTTATGTGCAAAGGAAGGGAAATTCAGATCTTGGCATTCTCCATGCCGTGCTGACACTCCTTTTACACTAATAAAGGCTTTTTAGGTTAAACCATGCCTGAAAGTTCTTTGAAGTGTTTCATTAGTCAGACTCATGACAAGATGATTAAAGTTACAACTATTACGACCATTTTGAAAAAAAAGGTTATTAGAACCAGTCCTCGCATTTATGACCGTTGCGATGTTCAAGACTCGCTTAACCAAAGTCTCACTTAACAACAGAAACAACAGTTATGGGGCAAACCCCCCCCCAATTCTCCCTTTTTGACCACGATTCAGTTGGGTTCTCACCTCTAAGCTAGCTTGGAAAGCGCTGCTCATGATTTGGTCGTGAGGCCCAGATCGGTACAGCAAAACCAGGTGGATGTAGAAAAAGGAGAGGTAGAGAGCGACAGGGATGATCAAAAGAGCTACTCCTCGGGCTATGAAGTGCCAGAGCAGGGAGACCTGAAAGGGAAAAGCCGAAGTGATTCCCTTTTGCTTCTAAAACTAAAGATTGCCAGACGGGGCTGCATCTAGCTGGGTTATAATCCACTCTAGGGGCCCTAAAACTTTAATAAAAGTGTGCCTCTTCCTGTTAGAGAGATTAGAATCCCGGTTCCTTTTTTAAAAATCAATGTTTCCAACAGAATTAAAGTTAAATCTAGCTATCTATCATTCATCTAGCATCCATCCATCATCTATCTATCTATCTATCTATCTATCTATCTATCTATCTATCTATCTACCTACCTACCTACCTACTTATTTATGTAATCTATATCTATCATCTATCTACTTATTTATCTAATCTCTCTCTCTCTCTCTCTCTCATTTATCTAATTTATATTTATCTATCTCTATCTATCTATCTACTTATTTATGATCTATATCTATCATCTATCTATCTACGTATTTATCTAATCTATATCTATCTATCTATCTATTTATTTATGATCTATATCTATCATCTATCTATCTACGTATTTATCTAATCTATATCTATCTATCTATCATCTCTCTCTCTCTACTTATTTATCTAATTTATATTTATCTCTCTCTCTCTCATTTATCTAATTTATATCTATCTCTCTATCTCTCTCTCTATCTCTCTCTCTCTCTCTCTCTCTATCTATCTATCTATCTATCTATCATTTATGCAGAGGTCAGCTCTATGTTAGAGAGCCTCGCATCTAACTTAACAATATTTCCAATTTTGCCATCAAACAGTTATGGAAAAAACACATTTGTTGCAACCTTGGCTGATTACGTTCTAAGGTCAACTGCTGTGTCGAACTAAAACCCACGGATTCTGAAATCCAAAGTTCCCCCAGAAGTCCTCCCACCACCCCAGAGCGACCGCATCTTCCTTGACCCTCCAACTTACGTTGGACAAGGAGCGATCCCCAACCAGCTGCCAGCAATGGACTCCTGCCAGGGTCAGAAGAAGGAAGTAAGTGAAGAGGCCCATGTATTTCACCCTGCGAAGCAAGCAGGAAATGCCACAATAAACCAAGCCCATTAGGAGGACAAGCTGGCTGCATTCGCATGTCATCCCCATTGGGGTTTAAGGTGAGGAGAACACAGAGACAACCCCGGATGGGCCCAGAAAGGACGGGAGACCGCCAGAAGATCTAAGCAGGAGTGTCCAACCTTAGCAACTTTAAGACTTGTGGACTTCAACTCCCATAATTCCTCACCCAGCATGGGGAATTCTGGGAGTTGAAGTCCACAAATCTTGAAGTTGCCAAGACTGGACACCCCTGTTCTAAGGTGTTCATGAACAAGGCTGTTGTCAGATACCTTAGCAGACCAACAAGAGGTAAGTAAGCTTACCCAACAGCACAAGAACAGGAGACCCCAGTTAGCAACAGCCAGAGCCACCATCTTGCAGAAAAAGGGCTAAAAAAAAAAGGAAGTTAAGCATATCAATCATAAGGCCAGCCTTAGACCAAATGGCTGTCCAATCTCTTCTTGACCCTCCATCCAAAACTTCTGGAGCAAGTCGTTCCACTGATTAATTGCCAGGAAATTTCTCCTTAGTTCCAGGTTGCTTCTCTCCTTGATTAGTTTCCATCTGTTGCTTCTTGTCCTGCCTTCAGCTGCTTTGGAGAAGAGGTTGGCCCTATTCTCCCTTGCCTGTGGCAAGAAAGGTCATAAAATGGGGCAAAATTCACTTAACAACTGTGGTCGTATGTCGAGGATTAACCTGTATATTATGTACTGCAAAAAAAAAAAAAATTCAAACAAACTTTTTAAGCCTGGTTTGGTTGCAGAATCCATCCCCGGCTGGTTTTGTCTAAGCCCTAAATCGCCATTTATAAATCATGTTAGTGTGGGTCATAGCATAAATGCAAAAGACATGTTATTGCTTGGTCTGATTTGAGGAACTTCATGTTTTATTGCAAAACCAAGGTGGAAAAATCAAAGAAATCGTTTACCTTTGTTTCTGAGAGTTGTGAAACTTCAGATAAGACAAAACAGCCAACAGGATGAAAAAAATTAAAATCGACTCCAGCAGCATCAACCTGGATTGAGTAATTAGTGAATTTTCTGTTAAGACACAAAGGAGAAATGAGAATTGTTTTGATTGTCTATTCCTACAGTTGTTCTTCTTATGAGCTTTTTACAACTTTGGCAACTTTACAACTTGTGGATTTCAATTCCCAGAATTCCTCAGCTAGTCATGTTGCCAAGTTACAGCAGGCAATATAAAGATTTTTGCAATCAACCAATGGGGATTGGCCAGAACAAATACTTAAAAACTGAGGAAAAACGTTCCAACTTCTAAAAACCCTTTTAGCCAAACATACAGCTTTTTGCTACAAGTTTTCAAATATCCTAGTCTCACTGCCTAACTTTATTTTATTATGAATTGGATGTATCTATGAAACAAGCAAAGAGATACACAGCAACTCATCACATCCATTCAATACAAAGTAATAAAACGCCTGTGGAGGGGAAAAAACAGACAAATAAAATAAGGCAACATAGAAAATCTTATGCTAATATTTTTAACAGTTGCAATCCTAGAAGCTTTGCTTGATGACTATTTTTGTGAACAGCCTAACAACTCAACAAACATTCCTTTCAGGGATAAGATTTTAACAGGACCGCTATGAATGCCTTCTGCCATTTTTCTCAAACTTACGAAAATGATATTGGAATGCATAAAAGCTGTCTTACGTGCCTCTTAAATTAATTCATTTGTCACTACTTTTAAATTCACGTCAACGCTACCCCGTTTCTGAAGACTACAGTAAGTAACTTTACAATTAGCAACCTAAAATAAGAGGACCAACAGAGTAATCTTTTACAGACTTGCAAAAGGCTGCTCTGGAAACTGTCTTAGCTAATAAAAGGGTTAAAAATACAGCTTGAGGAAATAAAGAGAATAGTGAAATATCTCAGAAATATTCTGGTCATGGCACTGATGGAGAATTGAAAGGAATGATATCTTATTTACCGAATAAAATCAGGACTGCAGCACCCAGGGCAACAAAATGGGTGAAATGCAATTCAACTAATATTTGATACGCCAAGGGGATGCATAAGCCACCAGCTGTTGCAGGTATAAGCCGCAGTGTCCAAATCGGCACATTGGAGCTGTATTCTAGGACGAAATAAGAGACAAATCAGCATGAATTGCAACTTGCTTATCTACCTCTCTGGTCAATTAGAGATTGTTTATCTGCATCTCTGGTCAACTACAGCTTGTATCTTTAGTCAGCTGCAGCTAGTTTATCTATATCTCTAGTCAATTACACCTCCAGGAAAGCCTGGACTTATAATCTTTTACAATAGCACTAAAAAAAGTGATTTATAACAATATTTTACACTAGCAACCATTGCGGCATCCCAAATGGTCACGTGATCGGAATTCAGATGCTTGGCAACTGACATGTACCAAGGGATCCCCTTGTGCAGTTTTCTGACAAACAAAGTCAATGGGGAGGCCAGATCCACTGAACAACTGTTTAACTAACTTAACTGCAGGGATCCACTTCACAATTGTGGCCAGAAATGTGGTGAAATGGGGAAAAACCCGCTTAGCAACTGCCTCTCTTAGCAACGGAAATTTTGTGTTCATAAGTCGAGGGTTACTTGTATCCCTAGTTAATTGCAGCTTGTTGATCTGTATTTCTCTATTGCAGCTTGCTTATCTATTTCTCTCTCCATTTTAGCTTGCTTTTCTACATCTCTCATCAACCCTTAGGAATAACACAAGAACAAAGATTTATATAAAATGCAGAACATTTCCTTTATTCTCCCCCTCCCTCTAGTTTTTCCAGTTGAATTGCTGGCCATGTCCTTGTCAATAATTAGCTGGAGGTGAATCAGAAACCCTTTTACCTGCTCCTATCCTGTTCCATAAGAAATTTCCATCAAAGCCCCCTAAATAACCTGTAAAGGAAAGAGAAGGATAAGTTTTCCAGGTCACAAAACCTAAACTTAAATTAAAGTGGGATGCTGGCAAAATATGTGGATGTATCCATATGGTTTCCTCAGCAAAGCGTAGATACTACCAGAGTTGGAAGGGACCTTGGAGATCATCTAGTCCAACCCCCTGCTCAGGCAGGAAACCCTGTACCCTTTCAGACAAATGGCTGTCCAGCCTCTTCCAGTGTTTTGCAAATACAATCATTAGTTCAATTCTTTGTTATATGAATTTAAATGGAGACTAGATGTTCAACTGCCATGGATTTTGGGCAGCATACAACACAACAAAAATCCGTAAAAACAGCTAAAATCTAAATCCACACAAACACTCCAGACTAAAAATGATCTAACGTAAATCAAATTGAAACAAGGGCCCTAAAATATAAGAATACATCAATCTTCAGCCCAGGAGCAAATTGTGAAATTCAGATATTATGACTAATAAAATGGAGAGAGGAAGTTAATCCTAAAGGAAAGAACAGAGTTCAACTATACAAAACATTTAATTATGGCAGGAATGTCATGGCCTCAGGGGCTAAAGTTTTGACTATATCTTTCCTTCTTGATTTGCCGCTAAGAAAATAAGCTTCAAGAATCTGCAAACAAAGTAAAATCAAGGATTTTTTTAAAAAGTATTCTGCCTGTAAGAAGCAAAAGGCTGTGCTCAGCTATTAAAAATATATTTAATTAAGCGCCAATGTTATGCATTTCCGTTTTCTCCTTTGTGTGCAAAGGAAATTTGTGCTTAGCTTTTTCCAACATTTTTCATTTTTAAATTTTATTGATTTGCATCCTGCCTTTATTGTTTTTAGAAACAGCTCAAGGCGGTGAACGTATTTAATACTCCATCCTCCTCTTATTTTCCCCACAACAACAATCCTGCAAGGTGGGTTGGCCTAAGAGAAGAATTGGTCCAAAGACATCTAGTCGGCTTGCATGCCTAAGGCAGGACTAGAACTCACCGTCTCCAGGTGATTGGCCCAAAGCCAACTAGCTGGCTTTCATTTTTCGCCTTCTTTATTTGCAAAGTTTCAGTCAGTTTGCTAATATTCAAATTCCTGACAATATGGAGAGGAGAGAGATGGCTTAATTTATTCTTGCAACACAGGATGAATTCTTTGAAAATGTGCCTACCTCCCAAAGCGAAAAGCATGTGGCCGAACGGGGGCCCGCTGTCATCTACGAAGAAGATCCGCTTCATGTACAAGGAGAGGAACTGGCCATAGTAAACTTCATCAAAGCTGGAATAAAACAATACAGTACCATACTATACCATACACTACCGTATCGTACGTACACTTCCGTACGTATGGTACGGTACAGTACAGTACATACACTCCTGTACATACAGTACCGTGTGTACACTTCCGTGCATGCAGTGCCGTGCGTACAGTACCGTACAGTACCACACCATACAGTACAATACAATAATAAAATAAATAAATAATAATAATAAATAACATAAATAAATAATAAAATAAAATAAGATAGATTTCTCATGAAGCCCTCAAGCAACTGGCTTGTCACCCTATCAGAGGATTTCTGTTCCAAAACAAGGAGGATCAGACAGCATCAAAACCACAGGTGGTCCTGAGCCCAGAATTTAGGTCACTAAGCGAGAAATTTGTTGAGTTTTGTTCCATTTTACGACTTTTCTGGTCACCGTTGTTAAGGGGAATTCCTGCAGTTGTTAAATTAGTAACACGGCTGTTAAATGAACTTTAACAACTGCAGGGATTCACTTAATATCTGTGTCCAGAAAGGTCGTAAAATGGGACAAAACTCACTTAACAGCTGTCTCCCTCCTCGGCAGCTGAAATTTTGGGCTGAACTACGGCCGTAAGTCAAGGACTACCATGCATACCCTAAACACACAACATAGCGTGAAGTCAAATCGCAGTAGAGTTCAGTTCATCCATTCAGCTACAATTCCGTCACACCATAAAATATAAACAAGCCCCCTTGTGCAGCGTGACAGCTTGATTCATGCTAATCTCAATTCCTTTTCCAGGCTTTTTCACACCCCAAAAAGCTGGACTGAGGAACAGTTTAAGTGTCTGGAATGCAAGCTTGTAAAATGCAAACACCAACGGGTCTTTATAAACAGCAGAGAGAAAAGTTTATTTTTAATCCCCGGAAGAGTCATTGTCGGTACAGACACTTTAAATCTACTCAATCTATGGTACACAATTATATTTGGATCAGTTTACTCACACTACAGCTCTGGGATAGGACAGTGCCCACAGCCGGCTGATTAATCCGACCACAGTTAAAATCACCAGGTTTACATTGATTTCCAATGAAAAGACAATTGGCTGCTTTAAGAATCCAATCATTTTTTTCAGAAGGATCTGGTGGCAACTAAAAAAAAAAAAAAGGAAAATTGGTCCCATTCAGAATAAATAAATAATTCTGGCATGCTCTCAAACTGTTAGGAAAGTTATGCTATCCAACCCATCCAACATTACTACTACTAGTACTACTACTACTACTACTATTATTATTATTATCTACAGATACAGAGAGATGAACCACATTTCCACACCACTCAACAGACACAATAAAAAGTGAAGGAGGAAATAAAAAGAGGATTTACATCCTCGCCAAGACTCAGACAAGCAGAGATTAACTCCAGACAATCAAGCAGAAAATATTATCCTAATTGAGAAGCTATCAAGGAGAGAATCACGCCCCTCCCACAATGGCAGGGCAAGCTACGTTATATAAACAGAGAGCAAACCCCACATTAGTGGCACTGGTAATGTAGGGTCATGAAACGTCTGCACGGAAGCAAGCCAGCCCACAGTGCAACCCTGAGCTACAAGGAGTTGATAGGTGGACCAAAATGCCAAATGCAGCCCAAATATCTGGCTGAAGCTGTGCTACAAAACTATAATAACCACCAGCATTGACCAAACACCCATCGATCAATTGCAAAAGGCAGCTTGACCTGGAATAGCTTACATCGTGTGACAATGCCTTTAGCCCATCATACATCAACATTTGAGCGTGCAAACTCTCTCCAGTATTTATTCTCTTAGCTTCCACGCCCATCCATCCATACGTTGAACCAACCCGTTCTTTTTTCTTTTTTTGCACACCCTCCGTCCCGTCCCGAAACTGATATGCACCCCAGAAAATGTCTAAATCTTATAAATAATACCCGGGCTCTGCATTAACTTTCTTTCCAATTATTTCGAGAAACTTCCCAATTCGCGCTGCTTCTCGCTCGCCTGCTTCAATCTCCGTATTTCGCTCCTCCCTTTCGTGGAATACGCTCGCCTTCGTGCCGTTGTTCAGGCGGCACAGATGGGACGTACCAATTACAAAAAGGGGGAGAAAGGAGGAGGCGAGCATATGATCCGCTCTACTCCCCTCTACCGTGGAGAAGGCAGGACCGGAGGTGACATCACGGACCCGGACAGTTGCCATAGGAACAAAAAACCATAGAGGCGTCCATGTGCTATTGTTTTCCCCCGATAGCCATTTGCAAGCCGATTGCTTTCCTGGGAAACTACAGTTCCCAGAATCCCTAACGAGGTGCTATGCCAATCCTTCTGATTTCGATACTGAAGCCACCAAAGACTTTTAAAATATTTTAGACAATCAGGCAAATGTTGCCCGATGTTTTACACTACATCTCCCAGTCTTTTGCCATTCTGCACAGCAAATCTATTTTGATTAGCCAATTTCTGTAGTTAGGTTGAGCAAATGCCCGCCTAATAAAGTGGCCCAAATTCTTTAAAATTATTTTTTTTCTTATGCAAGTCAGCATCACATTCACCCTAGTGAAAACTTGCTTTATGACTAGCAAATTGCCAATTGCATTAGAATACAATAGGACTAGGACTAAGAGTAGAGTAGAATAAAAGAGTTGGGACCAATCCATTTGGGCACACTCAGCCTTTGAGTGGACTAGAGACCCTTTAAGGATTCTCCCCCCCCCCCCAAAACACCATTGCATTTTTTCAAAAACTTCCCCTTCAATCATTTCAATATCTTCTATAACAAGTTATGTTTGAGAAACTGGGTTAGAGTATTACCTATATTAATAAATTGAAGCAGTAGGTGTGAACTTAAATGGACTCCAGAAGATGGTAGAGGACAGGAAGACCTGGAGGAACGTTGTCCATGGGGTCGCGATGGGTCGGACACGACTTTGCAATTAACAACAACATATTAATAAATAGAAAAGCCCTATTCAAACCTTGCCTTCCGATCCATTTTATGCATACAAATAGTCCTCCACTTACTTCTAAATTTCCATTGCTAAGTGAGACAATGAAGCAAGTTTTGTCCTATTTTTATGATCTTTCTTCCCAATTAAGTGAATCACCAGTTGTTTGAGTTAGTCATATTTCACCTGCGTCTCTCCAAATCATTTTTTGCCTCTGCAAAACTGGCCCAAGAACGACACAAGATCACCTCGCTTTTATTTATTTTTTAATTTAAATAAGGATAATTCTTTCATATGGAAAGAGCTAATACAATCACATATTTGAAAGGAGAAACCATACAAACTGGGGGAGAAAAAACAAAAACGAAATGAAAACAAACCAACAAAAAAGAAACAACCCCACAAAGGGTGAGAGAGAACGGTCTTTTACAGGCTTCGAGGACAGTTCTCTGAAAGATTTAAAACGTGTTGCGTGTCTGCAAATTTATTCACTGTTTGCCCTTTCAAATATCTGCTCTACGTGAAAAGACAAACACATGAGAAGCCCCCCCCCAAAAAACAAAACAAACAAAAAAGATTTTACTGTACAGGTTTGCAAGATTAAAACATGAACAGGTACGATACCATCCTAAAAAAAAAAAAGAATGTGATTTATACAGGAGAGAAGAAATTTTGCTATGAACATCTTATTCAGCTGCTTTTGATCATCCTTGACCGACTTTAAGCAGTTCAGCCTTGTGTCAACGACCAAGAATGTGTTAGCGCTTACGATACCCACAATTTTCAGTCTGACATCTCTGGCGAAAAATGCTCGTAAAAGCCACAGGACAAATTAAAGCAAAGCACTTTGAATCTGGCTTAGCTGTTTCAGCTTCCCATCGGATGAAGACTAAATTAAAAAAAAAAAAATCTGCCTCCCACATTTTGAAGTGACATGGAAAGAGAATTTTTGTATCACACCGAAAGCTAAAGGACACAAAGAAAGAAAAATTAAATGGCATGCAAGAAAGGTCTTGTGGCTAACAATAACGTTAAGCTGATGGTCTTTTCCATCTATAACCCTCTGAAGAAAAATTAAAAAACCAGCAAAGCAAGCCTTTTTGCAGAAGGCAAGGGAAAAAGATCGATGTTAACGAAGATCTACAAAGACAAATGTGTGTCAGTTCATCTTTAAAACTTTAGCCACCCTTTTCTCTTTCACATCCAACCCTCCAACTTCAGTTTTTAACAGGGGGAAAAAAATTAATCCAGCCTCGAAATGCGTTAAGAGGACACGGCGAAAGGCAGAATTAAAATTCTATTTAAATGCATCTGTAGCTGAACAAAAACATTGCTGCAGCTGAAACCAGTGTTTTAAAACCACACTGGCATTGGCCACTTTGAAAAAATAATTAAAAAGAAGTGCTTAGCTTTTTCCTGATTTATAAATGGACTGCTATTCTTTCATTCTTTTCCCCCAAAAAAACTTAGTGTGCAGAGCTGAATTTGACAGGCACAATCTTGATAAGCGATGTGATCTGCTTTCTTTTTTGTGGGAGGAAAAAAAAAAGCACAGCCCTTTTGGCATTGACAAGGTTCACGCAGGAGAAAACTGCTTGTGCAGGATTCTTCCCCCTTCTTCTCACTGACACCTCGGTCGGGCACAAAATCACAGCAGTTGCATCCAGAAATAAGGTCCGAAAACTTTTTGCTTGCGTCTCAAGATTCACACGTACTCCTTCACCGAAACACACACACACACACACACACACACACACACACACATCTGTGGACTTTCTATTGAAGGAAACAAAGATGGATTTAATTTTCTTTCAGGAGCGTGACAATGTTGTATGCTGCCGAGTTTGGTTCCAGCAGACGGCAATAAAGCGAGAAGATTTAGCCCAAAGTTAAACAGTAGGAAAAGCTTCAGAACTGAAAGCGAGTTTTGATAAATAGAAAAATCTACGAACTCTTTCTTGGCCTGGCCTGTGCAGAATAAATCCAGACATTAAATAAATAGATCAGTGAAGTATTTAATTCTTTTCACCTACAACACCAAATACGTATAAATAAATTCTAGTGTTTTGTTTTTTCAAATTTTGCCAGAGTGGAAGAAAATGGCTGAAAGGCAGAACAAATTGATAATCTCTATCCTAAGAGTTGCAGTTCTGATTTAAATCCCCAAGGAAGGTTTTATGATGCTCTTTTGCATCTAACGATCAATCTAGTTGCCTGACAACTGAAAGACAAAATGCCACAGACCAGCCAGACAACAAAAATAATATAAAAATATAAACCATCCCAGGCGCAAAGCAGTTACGCCACTAAAGAACAGGATTGCATTCTGTTAATCTTTGCACAGAGGAAGGAAAAATTAAAGGGAAATAACATAAAAATAAAAACCACTATGGGCGCAAAGCAATTACACCAGTGATGAACAAGATTGTAATTTGTTAATCTTTGCAGGGAGCTGGCTGGGCCAAATCAAAATGTGTTCAAGGCAATTTGCGTGAGAAATTCAGCAGCTTGCAGTATTTTTTTCAAGCAGAGGCATAGAAGGAAGCAAAAAAGGTTAAAAAAATACACAGAAATGTTAAAGGCAAATATCCAAGAATTACTAAGTTCCAAAGGACTAAAACGACTACAAGCAGTAGAGAGTCCTGTCCCACCCCAAATTAAAATTCCATTTAAAAAAATGCCCCCTCTCCCGAGCAACGTTTTTATTTTGTTTAAAAGCCCCTCAATTTTAAACCCCTGGATATGGTTAGGGGGGAATCTCAAATGCACGCCAACGAAGGGAAAGAGCTGACGAAGCCTAAGTATTGTAAAGCTCTCGCAGGGGAAAAAAAAAACCAAATACCAAAGTCCATTTTGACAGCTAGCTAATGGAATTCCAAATTCAAACTCGCCTCTTTTTGAGAGTACCCAAGTCCAAGGCTGCCTGCTTTTGAAGTGCATTCTGTTTGTTTTTTTGTTTTCAAAATGTGGTCTTTGGGAACTGCCAACCAAAAGGCTGGTGGGACACCTTAGCCAAAATAGCAGATTGCAATTTTTAAAGTTGATCGAACTCTCAGCCAAAGGGGGGGGGGTCTCGTGTGAGGGTTTTGACCAAACCTGTCTAGACAGGACATCTGGGAGAATGTTAGGCTTACCGAAAACTCCAGCATCTTTTCCACCGTGCCCCAAAATGCAGAATTCCTCCTATTAATCTATTTTCCAACAATGATCATGCAAAAAAGAAGGGTTTGTCATTTTTAGCTTTGTAAAGCATCAGGTTTGGAAGGGGAAAGAAAAATGTCAAAAATTCCCTGCATGCTATGGTTTATTATTATTATTTTAAATTATCTTTGCAGGGATTAAAAAAAAAACCCTCTATTTTTACCTACTCTGGGTTGTTACCAAGAGACACTTCCACCCTGCAGAATCTGACTGCTGAATGCAAAACAGGAAGGGAGAGGTGAAAGTGAACTTAGAAAGAAAAATAGAATTAGCTACAGCAAGGGGAAGAAAAATACAGAGTAAGGATGAATTGAGAGAGGAGGAGAGAAGTAAAATGGGAAGGAAGAAAAGAGAAAATAGCATTTTTCCCTCAATCATTTAGTTTGGTGTTTGTCAACCTCAGCAACTTTAAGATGTGTGGACTTCAACTCCCAGAATTCCCCGGCCAGCCTGCTTTAAGATGTACAGACTCCACCTTCCAGAATTCATGCTGAAAAGCACGCGTTGGAAGAGACGTACCCTAGGAATTGCAGCCCACACCTCTTAAAGCGGCTAAGATTGAAAATCACAAAGCGACTATTAAAAAAAAAAATCTGAGAAACTTAATTTTCCAACACTCCTTGTCTCAAAATGTCACAAAAATAAATCACCTATAGAAATAAAAAATGACTGCAATCTCCCTGGGACTGATCTGGTAAGATTGATGGTGGTCTTGCTCAAAATGACTGCAAAACGTTGGAGGTCTGGGGGCGAGGAAAAGGGGAAATAGCTGTTCTGATCTCTCTTCTGGCTTGGCTTATTTCAAAAGCTCGGGTCTAGAGTAAAAGGGAAGGAGAAGGGAAACCGTGTGGTTGAAAAGGCTTTCAGATACAGAGCTGAAGATCCAGGCTTGATGGAATGTAAGACACGGATGTTACACGTAGGAAGATCTAGCTGAGAAGGAAGTCCATCCAAACACATGATTTTGGGGTTTGGCAGATATTTCCTTTGCAAGCGAGAAAATCAGAAGTAGGAAGAAGAAATCTAACAAAACATGAAGAAGTTCAGCTACAAAATGAAGGATACAGCATTCCTGGGTGTTGGGAGTAAAAACCCTGATGGGCTTAGAAAAAGGAGGAAGTTGTTATGGTGAAGAGGAAGAGGAGGAGTAGGAAAGGGAAGAGAGAGAAGAAAGGAGGAGAGGAAGAGGAAAGGGGAGAGAAGAAAGAGAAAGAAAGAAAGAAAAAAGAAAAGAGAGCGGAGGAAGGAAGGAAGGAAGAAAGAAAGAAGAAAAGAGAGTGGAGGAAGGAAGGAAGGAAGGAAGGAAGGAAGGAAGGGAACAGATAAGCTAGCATTTCCACTATGCAATGGGAAAAGCTTAACTCCTTAATGCTTTCTGCTATTTTCAGGTGGAGAAAAGAAACAAACCAAAAAATGGCTGTAGCCACTCCAGAATCCAAGAATTCAATAGGGAACTTGGGATGGTTGCTGCTGAGTTTCGATGGAGCTGTGGTCGGTCTTCTTTTAAAAAGCAAGCAGGCCAAGGATGAAAAGAAAAAAAAAAAAAAAAAACCCACGGCGCAAGAAAACATCTCAGCGTAAAGCATCTTGGAGCATCCAGCCGCAGGGAGGCTGTCCAGGGGAGGGATGTGTGGGTTGCAGAGCCTCTCCCCCCCCCATTCTCTTGAGCAGGAGGACTGGCAGGCAACCTGGGCGGGGGGGGGTGTGTTCCAGGGCTCAGGCCTTGCTCTCCTCCACTTTGACCGCTTGAGGCTTGATGGCGCCTGTGCGGACTGGCTTGATCTGACCAGCTGACGGAGGCTCCTGCAGTTTCACGGCTCCCAGGCTTTTGTTCTCGTCTACTCGCTGTTTTGCCTGTCGGTGGAGGCAGAAAGAGGAAGGAAGAAGGAGGAAGAGAAGCGGAAGGGAACGAGGGGTAGAGTAGAGTAAGGGGAAGGGGGAAAGGGAAAGAGGAGGAAGAGAAGGGAAAGAGAAAGGAAAGAAGGAAGAGTACGGTAGAGTAGAGTAGAATAGAATAGGAGTAGAGTAGAGTAGAGTAGGGTAGGGTAGGGTAGGGTAGAGTAGAATAGAATAGGAGTAGAGTAGAGTAGGGGAAGGGAAGGGAAGAGAAAAGTAGAGTAGAGTAGAACAGGGGAAGGGAAGGGAAGGGAAGAGAAGAGGGAATGAAGGGGAGAGAGAGAGAGAGAGAGAGAGAGAGAGAGAGAGAGAGAGAGGAAGAAAGACACTGTCAGGCCAAGATTATCTGGAGTTTCCTCCTCCTGTTCTCCCTGTTCCCAGGACTGACTTGCCATTCCTCTCCCGTTCCATTCCTTCCTTCCCCAAGGGAATCCATTTCTTTCCTAAGGTCATCTCCACAATCCTTCACAGAGCTTCAGAGAGTGCTGAGGGGTGGATGGAGAAGGTCAGATTAAGTCCTGGACTTCTGCAACACCCAGGAGGTTCTCATTTCCCAGAATCCCCAGGAGGTCAGGAGACCGAGAGGACCAAGGCCGACCCAACCCTCCCCCTCTCCTACAATCATCGCCTCACTTCTTTGCCTCACTTTTCCTGGTGGGAAAGCCAGCTTCGAGGTTGTAACCACCTCATAGGACCCCTCTCCACTTTACCTGTTGAATGTAATGCCTTTGTACAGAGCTCATGCTGATGGCCGATCCAGAGGGCTTCCCGCTGGGGGTAGCAGAACTGGGCCTGGGAAAGGGGGACAGGGACGGTGGTAGCGGTCGAAGAGGAGGAACAACGCAACATAAACCATCATTTAAAGAAGTCAAGAATGGATCCAGCTTGGTGTGAAAGCAGCCAGCCTGTCCAATAATCCTCAATGCTCTTGCGTTTCACTGGATCAATCCCGCCCTGCCCTTTTCTTTCCTATCAGATCAATCCAAGAATTGTTATTTCACCTGTAAGTATGAGAAGATGGGATGGATCCACCAGGGACGATGCTCTGCTTAGTGTCTGCGAAGGAGAATCCTTTGATTTCCATGTGAGAAGACTAGAAGACAACAACGAGGGGGAAAGCTGGAGTATTTTACTCACAGGAAAGGGACAAGTTAAAAGAGATATTTGGGCTACACAGGGAGTCCTCGACTTACAATTTGTTTAGTGACTGAAGTGAACAACGGCACTGAAAAAAAATGGCTGATGGGCAGCTTTCACACAACCCTTGAAGCATCCCCAGGATCACGTGATCAAATATGGTTCTTGTGAATGCCCCATTGACTTTGCCTATCAGGTGGTGGCAAAAAGGGATCACATCTCTCTCTCTCTCTCTCTCTCTCTCTCTCTCTCTCACACACACACACACACACACACACACACAGTGTGATGTCATAAATACGAGCCAGTTGCCAAGCCTCTGAATTTTGAACACGTGATCATGGGGAGGCTGTGAAGGTTGTAAGTGTGAAAAACGGTCACAGGGGTTGTTTTCCAGGGTTGTTATAACTTCAAACGGGTCACTAAATGAACATCAGCCAAGGACTGAGGTTGTTCCCCTTAACAACTGCCAGTTGTAAAATCAGATCCAATCCTGTGGGTGTTTTGACTTCTGCTCGTCAAATTCTCCACTGCGGTTGTAAGTCAAGGACTACCTCGAACCCAGAGACGGAGTCCCTACTTACCTCCCTGTTTGTAACCAGGGCCGATGGCTGGGAGTTGGGAGACAGGATCCTACGTGGGGCTCCAACTGGGAGATTCTGTCCTTGGGGCAGGTGCATGGACTGGGATAACACAAGAGGCTGCTGGCCAGATCCGTAACGGGCCATCGGAAGCTGGGATCCTGGAATTGACATGGTTAGCTGTGGATAGATAAGCAAGAAGGAGTCACTTGATTTGGGTCTTCTAATATATATTTCTTTCAATTCTTGAATTTGAAGGGAATCAAAACCAAGGGAAGCGTTAACACTGCTTTATGAAGCCTTGGTTAGACCACGCCTGGTTTACTGCATATCACGTTACCAAAAAGGGAGTGGAGAGGAGAGCAACGAAGATGATTAAAAGGACCAGAGACTGAAACCTATGAGGAACAGGGCAAGGGTCCTGGGACCCCATCCTGACCTGCTGAAGCTGCGAGTCCATCATTTGCGATGCCTGGTTGAGCTGACCCTCGTAAACCAGAGCTTGGCTGCCGCCAACGGTTTGGTAAGGGGTGCCCGACTGCGTCTTCACCATCTCCAGGGGCTGCATTCCTGGGAAGGCAGAGTAGGGCGCCTTCAAGGCCGTGCCTCCCGTCAGGACCATGGTGCTGGGCTGGGACAAGCTGGGGTGCATGTAGACCTGAGACCTTGAGGAGAGAAAAACATCATATCAGGCGGAAGGAAGGAAGGAAGGAAGGAAGGAAGGAAGGAAGGAAGGAAGGAAGGAAGGAAGGAAGGAAGGAAGGAAGGAAGGAAGGAAGGAAGGGAACCTCCACTATCTGTTTCATCTTGACAATTATTCTACTAGTGCAGGACTGGGAATGGTGACGTCAGTGGTGAAGCCACTGAGTAAGGACTCATCCTGTTACCTAAAGGGAGGGATGGAGCTGTAGATCTCCTGGGACTGTGAAACTGGAAGGCCGCCCCTCAACCCGAGCTGCGCCTGGGCTTGCAATGACGTGTGGAGGGAGAGTGGAATTTGTTGAGCAGCAGCTGCCTAAAAGAGGGAAAGAACAAAAACACCAAGGATGAAATCAAAGCAGGAAGGACCCATCATCAAGGCCAACCTGGGATGGATGGACTTCCACACAGAATCCTCAGCTGTGCCTAGGCAGGTTGAGGAAATATGGGCCCTGAAGTCCACACGTATGGAAGAGGCCTTTCATCTCCCAGAATCCTCAGCCGTGGACATCCTGGTTGAGAAATTCTGGGGGCTGAAGTCCACATCTGGAGAGCATCAAAGGCCACAGGCTTAAAGGCCCTTCCCCGCAAACCTGGACCAAAATATCCCATGCCTCCTAAACTTTCGTTGAATTTTTGAGTTAAAACTTGAGTTGAATTTTTGCTCAAAACATAACTCAAAGTTGATTGGCAGAGATGCAGGTCTTTACACAGGACACACACACACACACAGCAGTGACTTGCCTGTTGGTAGCCTTGTTGCTGAGGTATTGTCGGGGGAACAAGTCGTGGCTGGCTGGCAAACACATGTCCATCTAAATACAAGGGTGTGATATGGTTACCTAGAATGGGTGGGAAAAAAAGCGGGAGGTTAATTTTGCCCCTACCGGATGACAGTTGAAGACTTTGCAAATCTTGATCTCCTTTCTACTTAAAGATGCAAAGGTCCATTCCCAGTTTGAACACGGCAGCAGAACCAGGAGTCTCTCAGCCAAAGAATCTCGTCAAATGCCCTTTGACTGACTGCACGGCCAGGGGTTCAGTAGGATCCATTGGAAACATCATAGAGACTACAACAGGAAGCTTTCAATGTAGCTTGCACGAGCCCTTCTGTTATCCTATGTGGAAATCGTTATCTACGAATTCTTCCCACCCCTCTACAAGTCTGGAAGAAGGGACGACGCACCTGGGATCGAAGCTGAAGGCGCCACAGAGGCCACGGGCATCGGTGGGACAGAAACACCCCCAAAGGTGCTGTAGCTGACCCCACTGGAAGCCCCAATGCTGGATGTAGGCTGAATGCCTGAACCAACACCTCCAGGGGAACTCTGTTCAGGAAGGCTGGGGGAGTTTTCCCACGCCTTTCGGGCTGACTCCATCTGCGGGGGGGGGGGGGGGGAGAGAGGAATTAGTACTGTAGCATCCAAAGGGCAGGTCGGAAAGGTGAGCACTATGATAACACTGCACTCCTGTAGGAGAAACTAGGGGTGGAGTTAAAAGATGAATCAGCCTAGAATCCCTACGTAGTCACAAGCGAACTAAGTCCAACCCCCTTTGAATTCAATTGACCTTTATCTAATTCTTAGTAGGTGTTAACCATTATTAGCAGTAGAAAGAAACCAGGCCACTAAAGAACACGGTGACTGGACACCATCAAAGCTGACGCCAGTCAGACCATAGAACAACTCAAAGGAGTAGTGAAAATGTGGGGAGACCTGGCCCACAGAATGGCAAAGAGTCAGACATGACTAAATGGATATTTTTTTGTATTTCTTAACTGCCCATCTTCCCCAGAAAGGGAGGCGACAGTGGTCCATCATCAGCAGGGGCACCTGTCCATCATTGGCTGCAAGCAAAATGCCCCCCCCCTTTTGTGATTTATTCCCATCCTCAAAAACTTACTTTGAGGGTCAGATCTGCTGTCGGATAAGACATGTTTAAGCTGATGCAACGGGGAAGTTGATGGTCTCTTCGAATAACAGGGAGGGACTGCGTGAGTCCAGGCTGTTGAGTCATAAATGGGATAAAAATTAAAAGATGGTTAGATTTTCAGAATTCTATTGCAGCCATTCACGGAGAGAAAAAGAGCCCCAGCTAATTATCAGCAACTTATTGGTAGAAACCTAATATTACAGTCAAGCAAAGAATGGACAGAATTAACAGTAAGTAAAGCAGTAGGCTGGGAGGTAAGTTCTTAAAGAGACAGTGGAGAAACTTGAAGAAGAAAACGGAGGGGAGAGAAGAAGAAAACACGAAGAAGAAAAAGATGAAAAAGAGGGAAAGAGAGGATGGGGACAAAAAAAGAAAGAGGAGAGAGGGAGAGGTGTAGTGGAAGATGCTAAAGAAGTAAGTAGAACATGAAGGAACAGAAAATGAAGAAGAGAGAGAAATGAAAGAGAGGGAAAAGATTTAGAAGGAGAAGGAAGAGTGGAGAGAAGCAGAACATCAACCACAAAATAGTCTTACATTGCTGGCCAGCACGTTGTGTAATTTCGCAACCGGGCTGGCTGGCGTGCCAGGAGCCGAGCCAGGGGGGAGACTGAAGTCTGAATCCTGCAACAAATTTGTCCCTTTTATCAACCAGTCCTCCACCTTGCCACTGGAAAGCAAGGGTGGTTAAATCTCCTAGAGAGAGGGGTGTGTGGAGTAAATGCACCTTTGATTTGTGGGTCCTTCGCCCACCCGCTTACTTCTTAGGGAGCAAAAAGGCAGGGGAGGAGAATTGGGGAGGGGGCCGGACCCTCAATGAAACCACGGAGAAGGGGCGTGGGGCTGCAGGCCCTTCTCTGCTGAAGAAGGGAGGGGGAATTCAGAGAGAGGTCCAAGACAAGGAAGAAGGGAACGCAAACCATTCTCACTTTAGGATTCACTCCGAATTCAATGGGCGGCACAGGAAGAACCGGGTCCACGTGAATCTCCACCCCGTTGACGGGAGCGATGTTGCCCTCCAGGCGCTCGGCCCCTTCCGAGCCTTTCCGGTTCTTCAAGGAGCGCTCGTTTCCGATCGGCCCCGGTTTGTGGTCCTTGGCTGGAGCCAGGGCTTGTTCCGAATCCTGGGCAAGAAAACAGAGAGGCTGAGATGGGGAGGGAGGAAAAAGAAGGGAAAGCGAGGAGACAGGGGGAGGGAAGAGAAAAAGGAAGGAAGAGAGAAAGGGGTTGGAAAGGAAGAGTGGAAAAACGCAAAAAAGGGAAGGGGGGGAAGGATGGGAGAAGAGGAAAGGGAAGAGAGGCAGGGATAAAGGGAGAGAAGGAAGGAAGGAAGGAAGGAAGGAAGGAAGGAAGGAATAAAAGGAAATAAAGGAAGGAAGCTACTTTTTGCTTCATTGTTAAGACAGCCAACAGGCCAAAGCAGGACCCCAGACACAAAAGGTCATCCCTCCACGCCTCCATTAGCTCTGCTTCTATCCTCAACTTCCATCTGTCCCCAGTTTTGGAGAAACACCTTTTGAATGCTCAAAAAAACGACACGGGGTTTTACTGTCCTTTGGTTCAGATAGAGCTTCCACACTTACACGTATTTCCCCCCTCCCCCAAGAAGCCCGGCACTACACCTGACCCAGAGGGTCTTCCACCAGAGACCCAATAAGCCCAAGCCCCCTCCTCCTCAATGCCTCCCCCGTAACAACTAGAGCCAAACTCTGCTGCACAGGACTAGGAACATGGTTTACCTTTTTATCCAACTGCTTTGGAGCCGGCTCTTTCGGCCCGTCTCCCTTGGCCTCCCCCAGCCCGCTTCCGCTCACCTCCTCCGGCTTGAGGGTGCCGTACGGAGAGCTGCGCTGGGAGGAGGTGGCCGAGGATTCCCGCGACTCCGCGCTCAGGTCAATGCCACTGTCCCCCTGGCTGCCTTTGAAGCCCTGTGGGAAAGCGAGCGGGCAGAGTGAGACCCCCAAAGCCACCTTCGCCTTAACTGGCTAAATTTAAAACGCCAACCCGTTTTCAACGGTTTACCATTTAAATCAAAAGCCAAAATTGAATTCTAAATGAAGATTTAAAAAGGGTTAAAATCGCTTTCCCACAGAATTCCATTCTATAGGAAGACCTTGTCTTACAGGAGTTCGTGTAGCAATTGCTCGAGGATACAAAGCAACCGTATGATCGTTTTTTTCACACTTAACGACCGTTGCAGCATTCCCCCATGGCCACGTGATCAAAATTCGCCCACTTGGCAACTGGCTCATATTTACGACAGTTGCAGCGTCACAAGATCCCCCTTTTGAGAACTTCTGACAAGCAAAGTCAATGGGGAAGCTGGATTCATTTAATGACCGTGCTACTAACTTAACAACAGCAATGCTTCGCTCAACAATTGTGGCGAGAAAGGTCATAAAATGGGGGGAAAATCATGCTTTAGGGCTCATTTCTGGTTTTAAGTTGAGGACCATCTGCAGAAGCAAAATCTGAAAACGTCGTTATCTAATTTCTGGCCATTTTTTTAAATGGGTTTTAGCGAGCCGACTTGTGTGGTGCTGCTGTGAAAAAGGCAAAGGCGATCTCTGAGCCAATGAAGAATTAAGCTTCAAGGGTGCCACTCTGATCGGCCGAGATTGGTTGACCAAGACCCTCGTGCCAATCGTTATAAACCCCTAACTCTCCTTGGCATGGGAGAATGTCGGCTTGGGCGCCACTGACCTCCGCAGAGCTGGACTCGTTCCCGATAAAGGTGCCGATAGGCTTTTTCCAGGAATCGGGAGCGGAGGACTGAACGGACAGCGCTGTCGGAAAAGGAGAGACAGGAGGTGTTAAGATATTTTCTTGCAGATGTTTCATTAACATCATCGGTGTTAGGAGGGAGGGGTGTGTGTGTGAAGAGGAGAAGAAGAGGAAGGAGAAGGGGAGATCAACGGTGGGGTACTCTGAGCTTTTCTTGCAGACGTTTCGTAACCCATCAGAAAGATCTGATCGTCTGCACAGCGGCATCCGAGTTCAAATGCCAAACGGCAGGAAGAGCCCCCGACTTGGGTTCACCTGCGCTGTTGGTCTCCCAAATCTCCGTCCCCAAGGTGTTTCGTGGCACCGAGATGTCCCCCTGTTCAAGGCACAGGCTGTTCTGTTTTTTGGCAAAGCGAGGTGGGATGCGTGATTGAAGGACGCGGCCTTTCGCCGGAGCCTATAAAATGAGAAAGAAAAAAGAACGCCAGAGTTAAGATTCTTCCCACATTTGGAGCAGCCGATGGCTAAATCTTCCTGCTTCAGGGACTGACTTTCTCACCTGTGCAGCTTGTTCTTTCTTTCTCCGTTCCTCTTCCAGCAGCCGTCGCTGTTTCTTCGTCAGGACCTCAATGAAGCCTTCGCTGTTCATCGGCCCCACTTCGGTGTCCTCCCCGGGTCCCGGCCCACGGCTGTCCATCACACCATCTGCGCAATGGCACACAAGCGTTTGGGCAAAGGCTGATTAGCTTTTCCTGCTTTTCCCTTTTCCCCAAAATAGGAAGAGGGGTGTGTGTGTTGGATACATCCGCCACCTTATTTATAAAAATAAGAAAGGCCAGATACAAGTAAACAAAATGATAAAGGAAAAATAATAATAAAGTTGCTGGGGGGGAGGGGGAGTCTGTCATAACTTTGGACGCTAAGCGACTGGTTATAGGTTGAAGACTACCTGTAGTGTAAATGGTAATTTATTGTATAGGAAGCATGTATTGTAGAGATGAATCTTATGGAAAATGTCAGATATCAGTATTTTATTAGCAACAATAAAGAGACTCAGCTAGATTATTTGTTGACTGACCAGTCCATATAGTATAATGGTAAGAACTAGGATTGGGAAGATCCAATTTCAATCCATAGTTCTGTACTTATTTATTTAATTTTACACTGTCCAATGCTTACCAACTCTGAGCAATTCATAAATAAAACAGGCAGGAAAAAAAATAAGCCAATGACAACGAACAAAAGATGGCACAATCTGGGCAAGAACCAAGCAGATCCAGATTACTCAGAAGAAGGTTTCAGTCATTCTTGCCAAAGACCTGGGAGAAGAGTCAGGTCTTCAGGGCTCTCTGAAATACTAGCTGGTTGGTTCCGTATCTCCGCTGGATTCTCCAGCACTGGAGACGTGTCCTGGTTTCTCCACAGCACCCTTGGGGGGACTTACTTCCGTAGCTCAGCTCAAATGGACCCAAGGTCTCCCCTGCCTGGCTGGCTTGGGGGACTGAAGACTTCAGATCCTTATCTTGCCTCTTCTCCAGGTTTTCGGCCCCATTCAGGTTGGAGTGAGACCCGTAAGCAGAACGGTTTCGTCCAGGACTGCCGTTATCAAGAACGCCATTTTCTTCCGGAGATCTGCAAGAAACAGTGGACTGGTTTCCGATTCAATGCAAAATTATTTCATGGGCCTGGCAGAAATAGGCCAGGAAGGGTACTTAGGCCAAAGAAGCATTTTTAAAGTCCAAAACTACAACGTGATATAGGGGGTCCTTGAGTTATGACTGTAATGGAGCCTGGCCAGTATGATTGTAAATCGTGACAACTGTAAATCGACAAGTTAGACCGGTGGTTCTCAACCTGAGCAACTTTTAAGATGGGTGAACGTCAACTCCCGCAATTCCCTAGTCAGAATTCTGGGGACTTCTGGGAGCTGAAGTCCATGCAATCTAAAGGTTGAGAAAGATTGGGCTGAACTATGAGGTCCATTCTGTATTAAAATATTGTCTCTGTTTACAGAAGGGGGATACCAGTGCTTCTCAACCTTAGTAACTTTGATATATGTGGACGTCAACTCCCAGAATTCCCCAGCTAGCTGGGGACTTCTGGGAGCTTATGTCCACGCAATCTAAAGGTTGAGAAAGATTGGACTGTGAGGCCCACTCTGTATTCAAATACTATCTCTCTTTTCTTAAGGGGGACACCAGTGCTTCTCAATCTGAGCAACTTTAAGATGTGTGGACTTCAGCTCCCAGAATTCCTCAGCTAGATAGATCATGCTGGCCCGGGAATTCTGGGAGCTGAAGTCCACACCATCTCAAGGTTTAAAAAGACTGAGCTGGAGGACCATGAGGTCCACTCTCTATCCAAATACTGCCTCTCTTTTCTTAAGAAGGGGCAGACGATTACCTTTTGCCCTTCATCTGTAGCCCGTTCTGCTGATTTTCATAGTAGGACGCTGGTCGGTTCCCACTGGCTCGTACAGCTTTCTCCCCAAATCCGATGGGCTCAGATTTCCGGCTTTGCCGATCTACCACAGGCCTCTGGCTGGAGAAACTCCTCTTGGCTAGGTCTCTCTTCTCCCCCAAGGTGCTCCCGGGCACCCCGCCATCCAACGGCGCCTCGTTCTCCGAGTTTCCCCCAGCGCTACCACCACCCCTCTTCTCCCGCCTCTCGCTGAAGTCGCTGCTTTCCGAGGCCGTCTCCCACTCTTCGTTGGCGTGATCCGAGGAATTCTGATAGGACAGTTCCGGAGATTTTCGACTGGAGGAACCGTTATAATCGGTCGCAATCAGTTGGGCTCTCCTGGGCCACTGGCAAGCGGCAAGGTTGGCTCCACCCTCTTCGGGCGCCCACTGACCCACGGACTCGCGTTCCTGCCTCAAGCGCCTGAATCGGGGAGGTTTGTCTTGACGAGGTGGACGCCGCCGACGGAACGGACGGTTCTCCGCGTTTTCGGGATCACCTCCGTAGTCCTCTTCAAAGGCCCGTCGGCTAAACGAGTCCACAGGCTTGTAAGACTCTTGGCTGTAATCCCTCTCGGGTGGACGCCTGATGCCAAAGGCATCCAGAGGGGCATTGTGGCCGTAGTCTTGCCAAGTATTTACACCATTCCTGCCCTGCCATTGGGAAGACTCCTTAGCAACGAATCCTCGTCGCCCGTAAGTGGAGTTGCTCAATCTTGGGGGTAGCGATCGCCCGAAAGCTCGTGGGTTCCTCAACTTGGCATCCTGATCATCGGAATAGATCTTATTGGATCTCCAGGAATCACGGACTTCCCCTTTCTTGAGGTCGCCCTCTTCTCTTTCTGCCAGGGAACCTTCGTTATTATTCTCAGAGGTCCTCTGACGCCGGCGCTTTGGCAGTTCCTCATACTCGGAGCCTTCGCTGTGTGTCTCGCTTGCAATCCGGCGCCTGGGCTTTCCCCGCGGGAACTCCTCCACCTGACTGAACTCTCTCAAGACTCGTCCTCGGCTACTTCTTGGAGGACCACTGACATTGCTGCTGTTATAACCGCCTCTGAGATTCCCACCACTAGCAGGAGCCACACCTCCACACCCCACCGGGTTGCTACGGCCTCGGAACGTGAATTCTCGGAAGCCGCGTCCACGGCCTCGTCCTTGCCCCCGTCCACCGAAGGCCTGTTCCTCATCAATGAAGATCCAGTTGTTTCTTTTAGTCGGGGGAAGCTCAGCAGACTCCCTTGACTGATTCTTGCCCTCACAGTCCTTGACCATCTTCTCATTCTCTTTACTATCATCCTCCTCATCTTCGCGAGGTTTCTCGTCCTGGACAGGAGTTCGTGGGGAGCATTTTTTGTCCCATGTGCGGTAGCGAGCAGAGTGGACAATCCCGCCAGGATTGGTCTCCTCTGACGCCTTCGGTGCAGGGGCCTTTTCCTTAACTGGGTGGGAAGTCTCTCTGCTCTCGACCTTCACCTTTTCCAATTCTTTCTCCTTCTCCTCCACCTTGAGAGCCTTCAGGACTGGCTTCTTAATTGGACCAGATCGACGAGTTCTGCTCGTCTGCTCTTGCTGCTGTGGTGGTTGACTGTTTCCGTTTCGGTTCTCGGGGGTCGTCCATCCAGTTCCAGGGTTGGCTTGCTTACTGGCAGATCCTTCCTTCTTCCACATCTCAGAGCCAAACAACGAGTCCTCCTGGAACATCTCTTCTTTCCCTGAAGATGACTCTTCCAAGGGTTTGGAAAAATGGCTGATCTCCCAACCGTTGTATTCAGACTTCTTTTCATCCGAAACAGAACTGGACTCCAAGGGAGAATTCAGCAGGCTCCGATCACAAGGATCAGAAAGGTCAGAGCCACACTCCGGGGGGTGAAAGATGCGTTCTTGGGGTGCCCTTTGAGCGGGACTGAGGCATCGGTCAAAATTTCCCTGGGGCTTCTTCTCAAAGGAGCTCAAGTAGTCTTCTCCAACTTCTTCAAAGAAGTCACGTTGGGTGTTTAGCCCTGATGGCGCAGAGTAAGAATTCTCAGCCCTGTAAAAAAGGACCCCCAAAAGAAGGAATTCCATGTAAGGAGCTGGGGAGCAGAAAATACATACATACATATACATATATAGTATTTTATTTTGGCAGCAAGATCGCCAAAGAAAATAATTCGCTTCATGATTTATACTGTCGATTTATAAGGCAACACAATTGAACACTGATTCCAAACCACCTCCCAACCCAAAAATAAAAATCAAGGAATAAAATTGATGGCAGCCCCATTACAGGTAGATTTGATTTAGCAAATGCCTTGTCTAGTAACCTTATGCAGTTATGTAGAGATGAAAAAGTCACTTTGTGACCAATCCTCATTTTTAATGACCTTTGCAGGTCTTTAAAGCAAAGGAAAGCTGAAGCAAGAGAATAAGCAAGGGTGATTTCACTTAGCAACTACTTCATTTAATCACCAGGTTTCCAATCCCCAACATGGTCATTCAATGAGGACTATTTATATTTAGCCTCTTAAACTCCATCTCGGAGGGCCTACACTTACCTGGAATGTAATCCTTCCTCTGTCACACTCTCTGCTTGCCTTGGCTGGGAAACAGAACAGTTTTTGCTCGGCAAGGAGACAAAACTTTCTGGACCCCAGATGGGAAGGGCTTCTCCTTTTCTCTCCTGCAGCCCCACCGACTGGCAGCTCTGCTCCTCCGATGGGCAGCTACCCCCATTCACGGAATCTGGCTTCATAACCCCTAGTCGGGTGAGAGAGAGAAAATATACATCAGATCGTGCTCAACGATGCTTAATTATAAAAATAGGAAACGTACAAGCATCGTACAATTAAAACTTTCTATATTTCGTATACGCTTTACCAGATGGATGAAGGGATGAAGGGTAGAAATCTACAGGGGTGCGTGCTGGAGTGACTCGAGGGTCCATGTAGGAAGGCATCATCAACCACCGAGGATCGAACCCCAACATCTGTGGGTGGGCTGGGTAGAAAGTCCGCTGAGGATGGGAAGAGGGTGGATAGATCTGGGAAGGTGGCCAGTTTTGCATTTTGTAGAGCTGGTCCTGAAAAGAAACATGGAAAAATAATTAACCTGCTATCGGTAGACGTAGCAATGCTGAGAATTCGGGCTGTCTGACCTCAGAAGCTGCTCAGCTCAACTGCAACTCACCAGTAGACAAAAACAGTACGAGAAAAGTTATTTGGTTACTGAAACAAACACCACGTTGGTTCTCTTACTTGCTGCTTTCTCTGGAATCGTGGCGGAAGCAGCTTGGAGAATTTGCCAAATTCCTGCATGGGGGAGACGGTTTCGCCCAGCTCCTCCTCACTGCTACTCCGTAGGGCTGTTGAGGAAACTGTTGGGGTCTCCTCATCCACGTAACCAGAAGGGGGTTCCTGGGTATGAGCCTCAGGGACCGCTAAGGAGGAGATAAAGGAGAAGGCAAAAATTGAAAGCTCCCTAAAACAACGGCCTTACCAAGTAGGCCAGGCAGGAAACACAACAGATAAAGATATGTTTGCTTTCGGTTTGAAAGCAGCGACAGTCGTATCATGGGCCATTATGACGTGACGTTCATGAGTCGCAAAATGGGTCGTTAGGATTGCTCAGGATTTGATGAGCTGTTTTACAGTGGTCGCAAAGCGAGCACAACAGTCATTAAGCAAACACTGTGGTCAGTAAACAGACTAATTTTTCATTGTGGGACATTTTTGCTGAAAACTGGAAGTAAACGTAGGGAGGGGGTAGCTATTTTTACAAAAACGTCATAAATCAGTCATGTGGCCGGTGGAGTCAAACGAGTAATTAGCCTGGAGATCCTGCCATCGATCCAAACCCGATCCTTCTTAAATTCTGCTAAATCTTATCTAATGCCGATTTAGTGCTAACAGCTGACTAGACAAACAAATAAATTATCTTAGCTGGAGCCTTAGTGAGCAGTCCTGACACAACAGGACCTACACTCCATATTTCATCGTGGCTTTTTTCTGGCTAAGAGGTTTGTGGTATCCAAGTTCAATCTGAACGGCTGGACCATCCACCTATGTGCATGTCCATACCTCTCCGGACTGCGTGGCCGTTCTCCGAGACGGCAGTCTTCTCTGAGGCCGAGGCTCGGGGTTCGTCACTCTCTGGGTGTTTGTGACCCTCTCCTGCTTTCTGAGCCAGCTTGCACTTCTGATCCAGCTCCTTCAGTTTCGCCGCGCAGGCGGCCAGGCGCTCTTCCCGTGCTCTGCGCTCTTCCTCTTCCCGTCGCCGCCTGGCCCGCTCAACGGCTTCCGACATTTCCGAGTAGACAAACTTCTGCCTCGAGGGCAATTTCTCTTCTTTTTCTTCTGAACACTGCTGCCGCAGACACGACAGCGGGGGTTTCTGCTCAAGAATTAAGAAACCGGCATCACAACAAAAGGCGAGATGAGGATGCAGAAATCCACAAGCAGCTTGGGGCCCCAGTTCGAAATACCTGATATTCTGGAAGAGGGGTCCAGCCGTTCAGCTTCCTGGAGGTTGGCAGACTTTCCGACACTTTGTGCATGGACCGAGATAGGCTGGCTGAGTCGTTCCAAGTCTTGGGGTCCTCTGGGGGGTGCCTGGCATTGATGTTTTCTGCCGGGTTCAACAAAGGCAGCCTTCGGGGATCCCAGCTGTTCCTGCCAATGGAGGCATGGAGCCCATTTTAATGATTTATTTATATCTCACTGGTATTATTTTTATAAATAAGCATAGCTAATACTTCTTCCTCCACCTATTTTCCCCACAACAATCCTGTGAGGTGGTCTGGGCTTAGAGGGAGTCACCCAGCTAAGGTGCCTAAGGGGGTACTAGAACTCTCAAGGTCACCCAGCTAGCTTTCACACCTAAGTCAGGACTAGAATGCACCGTCTCCTGGTGACTGGGGCAAACTCACCCAGACTTTTTTTTTTCTACACGAGACATGGTAATCCACGACACGTGGATCTCTTTCCATTTACCATTTCTGCCTTCCGTCCTTGGGGTTTTCTTCCTCCTCCTCATCCTCACTGAACTTCAGTTTTTCGGAATAATCCACTTCGTCGTGAATTCCTAGGAAAGTAAGGGACCAAGCGAGGAGAAGCAAAGCCAACTGTCAGTGCTAATTCATTGTGGACTTACCCACCAAACAAGGAATCTGTTTGTTAGTCTCTTTTGCAGAAAACTAAAACCAAAAGCTATTTGTTTCTAAGTCTAGTCTGGTCTAGTCTAGCTTTAAGCCTAAAACTAACCCCAAAGCCATTTGTTTCCAAATGCAGCACAGCTAATCCTAATCCTGAATCTAAGACTAATTCCTAACTTTAGCCAAAGGTCATTCATTAAGTCTAGCCTAGAGTCCATAGAACAAGACCCCAACGTGGGCATGGTGGCGCTTACCTGCCCAGCCGTCCTCAGTGTCATTGTCCAGTTCATCCAGACCTTTCAGGTTCTCTGCATTGATGATGGTCGGTCTGGGGACTCGCTCCCCCGATGGTCGGACCGGACGAACTGGCCGTGGAACCCCAAGTCGCTTGTCTTTTCTGTCAATGGAGAGTTTGGGAAACCGTTTTGGTGGACAAAAGGGAAAGTAGTGCAAAACCTCTAGATTGGGGCCACAAGCAGCAGAGGCCAAGATAAGACTGGGCTGATGTTGTTCAGCATTATCTCCAAGAAAGATCTCAAGATCTTAGATGAGCCGAGGTGGCACAGCAGTTAGAGTGCAGTATTGCAGGCCACTTTAGCTGACTGTGTTCAGCAGGTCAGCGGTTCAAATCTCACCGGCTCAAGGTTGACTCAGTCTTCCATCCTTCTGGGGTAGGTAAAATGAGGACCCAGATTGTTGGGGGCAATGTAAATATATATATATATATACATTGCTTACTGGTGTACACCGCTTAGAGAGTGCTTGCACTTAAAGCGGTATATAAGTCTCATAAATAAGTCTCATAAATAAATCTTTGGCAATCCCCGTTGACTCTGCTTGTTAGACGGTCGCAAAGCTTTTTCCAGTGGAATTGTAACTTCGAACCGTCACTAAACAAACCGTACCCCTTTTGCACTAACACAACAGACAACTGCAGGATGTGAAAAGCCCTCGCTCCAAGACGGCAAAAAGTTCTTAGGAACGGTACTTGGAAGTTGCAAACAAGACATCCCGGCAATCAGTGCGGCCGAGTTGACCAAAATCTCGCACAATGCTATAGTGTCTGTCGACTTACCCGTCTTGGTCACTGGGCTGATGTTGTCTGAAGGGGACTCGGGGTTCCAGGCAGAAGGAGGGGAGAGGAAAGGATGCCCGTTCAGTCAAGGTGGGGGTCTCGGCTGGTGGATTTGAACACATCTGAGATGGGGGGGAAGATATAAAAACAAGGGTTAGAAACGGTTAAACCCTCCGTTTTCTTTCTTTACTGGGAAGACCACATTCAGGGTGCTAAATCTCACAGACAACCTTCTTTTGAATTAAAAAAAATACGTATAGTATTTTTGTGAAATATAGATGGGAAAGTTTGTAGCTGTTTGCGAACCTGTTGTGTAAGGAGAAGAAAATACATTGGATTTTTTGAGGTAGAGGGAGTCCTTGATTTACAACAGTTTATTTAGCGACGTTACGACGACACTGAAGTGACTTATGACCATTTTTCACGCTTATGATCTTTGCAGCATCCCCCTGGTCACGTCATTTACCTTCGGACGCTTGACAACTGACCCGGGGACACTGCGACCGTCGTAATGACACGTTAGTTGCCAAGTGGCTGAATTTTGATCATGTGACCACCAGGATGCTGGATCACTAAATAAACTGCCTGTATTTAACCTGTAGAAACCCCGCAGGCGGCTTCCAGCCTCTTATACTGCGGCAGATCGATTGTGAAGGCGTTCCAGAACTTACGAAGGCGGGCAGCATGTCGTGGTAAGTGGGTGGCTGGTACGTGTTGGCCATAAACTGAGACGCTCCTTTGCGAGGAGGCAGAGAAGGACAGGGAGACGGCTCCTTCGGATTGGCACCGCTTGCTGAGGCCGGAGCATCCTCTCCTGCACTGGAGCTCTTGGTAGCCAGCTCAGTTGGGAAGGGGGACAAAGAGGTGGACGAGGCGCTGTTTCTACCACCACCTTCCCTCCAACTTGTGACATCTGAGAGGGAGGGAAGAAGGAAGAGAAAGAAAGAAGAAAGAAAGAAAGAAAGAAAGAAAGAAAGAAAGAAAGAAAGAAAGAAAGGAAGGAAGGAAGGAGACAGACAGAGAAAAAAAGGAAGGAATGAAGGAAAGACAGAGAGCGAGAGAGAGAAAGAAAGAAAGAAAGAGGAAGAGAAAGGAAGGAATGAAAGAAAGAAAGAGAGAGAGAGAGAGAGGAAGGGAAGGGAAAGGAAAGGCAAGCAGTTAAAAAAAAAAAAAGACCTAACATTTAAAACTCTGGCATGCTCAAAACGTTCCTAAACAAATCCACATGGGCAGCTAAACATAGAAAAGAATTTCGGTTTGGATCAGCTTTTGTTCGATGAGTGATTTTTCCCCCCTCTCCTTTTCATCAGCCTGGAAAGAGGATTAAGACATTGACCTTAATGGAGAAGAAGAAAGAAAAGAGGGGTGGGTGGGAAGTCCCTCCCACAAAGAAACAGTTGACAGACTGCTAAAAGAATGTGTGGAATGCGGAAATGGGTCTTTGGTCTGAGTTCTGAAAAACGGAACCGCCTTGGGTTATCCGACACCTGAAAGAGGATGTTTGGAACCCAAACGATTCAAAACCGAGGCCCACGAGAAACCGTCGGAAAGAACTGGATGGGTCCTTTCTTGGAGACAAAACTGGATGCTGACCCAGAATTATTTGGACCCCCCAGAGAAAGCTAACATGGAAGCAGAACTGGAGGAATCTTCTTTCCACCCCTGGCTTCTCATCCTACTCTCCGATGCTTTGGAGGATAGGCTGACCCCCTCCTCTTTGGGGCAGCCCCTCCGTTTTAGTTGTGAGAACTCTAGTTAACTCCCCAGAAACTATGATTACAATACTGCCAGTTGCTGACTGCACCAGAAATTTAGCTTGAGTCTCGTGTATTGGGGGTTTTGAACCCCACCCCCCCCCCATTCCACCAATTTGGTCCAGCTCTGGATAAAATTTCTCCTAGCTTAGTTATCACTCGCTTCCACATGTTCCTGTCCAAGTCTTCTCTGGTCCCTGGACCAAGTTCCATCGCCTAGCAACAAGCCTTGGATACCACCTCCATCAACATGGCAACAAAACAATCATACATCTTTTCCCTCCGGAGCTTGGGCTTCTGTAAAATGAACCCAAGTGGATTCCGGGACACTTGTTGCTTTTTTTCCTTCATCTAAAAGCACAATTCTCAATATGGATAGAAAAAGATGGGCCTGGGGAGACACGTATTTTGCGAACTGCAAACTTAGCATGAGATACCTGCCAGAAGAGCTGTACTGTATATATAAACAGGGAGCAAGCCACACGCAGTGGCAATAATGTTGTCACCTAGCTGGGTAATGAAACGTTTGCAAGAAGGCCACCAAGCTCAGAGTTACCACATATAAACAGGGAGCGAGCCACCCTAACACTGATGGTGTTATCTAGCTGGGTAATGAAACGTCTGCAAGTAAATAACCAAGTTCAGAGCTACTGTATATAAACGGGGAGCGAGCCACACACTCACTAGCACTGGTGACGTTCCCTGGTTGGGTGATGAAATGTCTGTAAAAAAGCAACTAAGCTCGGAGAGTGCCAAGGATTCCACTCTTCAACCTATTTACTCTTCCTTGAGTAAATTACTTGCAATTCAGCAGTGAAGCTGAAGTGGGAAGTGCTGGGGAGAAGACTTTGGAGCTTATTTCATCATCAAAGAGGCTGAGGACCCCCCCTCTCCCTTCACACAAATACACACATGGCATTTTCCAGGGAGTTACATACTCTGGGGGCGGAGGCTTGGTCCGGGCCCATACGACGGATCTAAGACGCCCTTTTCTTTGCCAGACCTGTCCTGCTCTCCAGCTGCTTTCAACGTTGGAAAATCCTCGGGAGAGAAGGATAACAGTCGGTTTGAGACCCTTAAACCTGTGGGAGAGAGAAAAGGAGCGCCAGGGATCAGGCTGGTGCCATCCACCAGGCTCATCCTTCCAGCCTGGGACCGAAAGACAGGCCTGCCTAAGCACACACCGCCCGCCCACGGGTGATACCCACCACCTTCTGATCTGGCTGGCTTTCCATTCAGCTGCGCCCATGATTTTATACCACCGGGTGCTGAATTTGTATTCTGCGGAGAAATTAAAAAAAAGAAATAGGAGCATTTGCTAGCAGTCCTTGACCCACGGCCATAACTGACTCCAAAATTTCCACCGCTAAGCAACTGGCCTTCCTCGCCCCAGCCATCTATCCGACAGCTGTCTTCGACCTACCCACCTCCTGGCTGATTGACGGGGTCCGCTTCTGTAAATTGGAGACAGATTTCTGTAAATCCTGCTGTGGCAGCGACTCCTGCGGCTGTGTGGCTGTGCAACTGGAACTGACACAAATGGAAGGAGAGAATGACCAGAGTGCCCAAAGACCCGGATGGGTTCAGAGGCCGGCCAGTATCACAAATTGGCGTTATTTTTGTAAACTTTGGTCATCTCAAAAAGCTAAAAAAAAAAAGTTGGATTATGCCCACAACAGCTGCAAAAGCTGATGGGAGTCAGCAGAGATGGCTAGAAACGGACTGCTTTAATCAAGGAAAGAGACGCAATTAATTTTGTTTCTATTTACAAACACCGCTTCTGGTGGAGGAAAAAAAAATGACTAAACTCTTCAGATTGTTTTTACTTGCTGGGGTGAAGGAGGAAGTTACTTCTTTTTTTTTTCCCCTTTCTGATTTTCTTTTATACTTTTTTTTTTGCATTTCTATACTCGTTGCAATCTGCATGTTTTTTTTTTGACTTAATCAAACTATTTTGGGGGAAGGAAAAAAAAGTGGGGAAAAGATTCTGTGGTCGTAACCTCCCCTAACCACATCCGCTCCTGAAGCGTCTCACTCCTGACCTGGCCTACCTCGCAGGGCTGTCCCTTCCAAAGCAGGAAGGGCTCACCTCTTTTGCTCTGGAGGGTCCTGTTTGTTTGCCCATCCTGTTCCGTCCTTGGGCACAATGAGGATATTGGGGTTGTTTCCTTTATGCTCCGATTTCAGACTTGGCAAATTGGCCGGAGGGGGCATTCGCCGCGCAGACGCAACTTTCCCGAGACTCTGCAACCCATGTCGAGGAATAACTAGCAAGAATGGAACAGAACAGCGTCACAGAGTGGGGAGGGGCCTGGGAGATCTTCTAGTCTAACCCCCTTATACAATAACGTTTCAGACAGAGGGAGAGCACGGCAACGATCCACCCGGACCCATTGTTGTTATTGATTTATTAAATTTGTTATCTCCCCCACAAGGGGACTCTGGGCAGCCGATAAACTTCAGGTAGTCCTCGGCTTACGACCACAAGTCAATGGGGGCAGATCCACTTAACAACCGTGTCACTAACTTAAGAACTGAGATGATTCAATGGACAACTGTGGCAAGAAATGTTGCAAAATGGGGCAAAAATTCACTTCACAAAGGTCTCACTTAGAGACACAAATTTTTGGGCTCCGTTGTGGTTGTAAGTCGAGGACCGCCTGTGTTTATAAGAAAGTTGGAGAAATAGCTCCTCCTCACAAATACACCCAGCTTCATCCCAAGTGCAACCCAGTCAGATGCACTGCACTTAAAAGCATAAAAAATATATATATTAAAATCTCCAGCAAGATCACCTGGTGGTGCCCCATCCATCCCATAACCAGCTTCCCTTCCAAATCCAGATTGGCAGGTGCAAATAATATTGAAAGACGGCTGATTTATATGCACAATCTCATCCCCCCGAGTTCCCAATCCTTTCCATGCTGCTTACTGGTGCTTCTGACTGTTTCTACTGACTTTCCTTTATATTTATCAAACAGGCTGAGCGTCGTGTACTTGGTTTTCCCATCCTTTCCCTTGGTTGTTGGCCCCGAACGATCGGACATCTCGATGAAATGTCATCGAGCAAGGAAATTTCTCTGCACCGCTCCTGATCTGCCTGCAGGGAAGAAAAGGTGACAAAAATAAATATGATGGATGGAAGGAAGGAAGGAAGGAAAAGAAGGAGGGAGGGAAGGAGAGAAGGAAGGAAAGAAGGAAGGGAAAAGAAGGGAGGGAGGGAGGAGAGAAGGGAGAAGGAAGGAAGGAAGGAAGGAAGGAAGGAAGGAAGGAAGGAAGGGTGAGGCTTTCTCATTTTACAGACAATGCAACTCTTCATGTCAGCAAACAGCCTCCAAAAAAGGAATTTCACCTTCTCAACTAAGGTAGCATTTCTACCTCCAAAACACCCCATCAAAAATCTGGACAAAGCTATACAGATCTAATGACAGATTTGGGGACAACCTTACATGCCAATTCCGCACACTGTAGGTGGTTTAAAACAAACTCCAACAGAACTGTTTAAAACAACAGATGATCCATTTTAATAGGACCGTGCATGACTTTTCAAGTTGACTTGGTTCAAGCACAAAAGCTTTCTCTTTGGGTGTGCAAAATCGCCAATTCGATGCAGGAAATGTTTTGAGCCCCGAACGGAAATGTAATTTTTTTTTTTTTTTTTTTTAGCATTTAACACGGGACTGAAATTCTGATCACTGCGGGAAGTGAAATAGCAAGGAAAAGTGCCTGCTGAAGTTAACCTGGATTCGGTTTACACAGTCCTGGATGGGAAGGGAAACTAAATTTAAATTTCAACCTGCCTTAAAGTTCCTAAAATGGAAAGGAGGGCCTGGGGCTCAACAGAACCTTTTCCCCTTTGCGTATTTATCCTCCCACATAAATAAGAGAAAGAAAGAAAGAAAGAAAGAAAGAAAGAAAGAAAGAAAGAAAGAAAGAAAGAAAGAAAGAAAGAAAGAAGAAACCTATAAGAAAAAATATATCCCTCAAATCCATTTTTCATTTCTTGGGCCAAAAGAAACATCAGAAAATGTACCTTGCACTATCATGGGCCAACCTTTGGCGGCCATAAATTTCAGAGAAGGATAGAGCATATGGTTTGGAAGGGACACTAGAGAGCATCTAGTCTGGCCCTCTTTTCCAGGGTGGGTATCTTCAGCAAATCAATTTTATTTCCTGAAACAATTCCCACTGGGCTCACATCAGGCCCAATTTGATTCACTCTGAATCTGTCTGATACACGTTCGGCTCTGTTTCTATTTGATAAGCATCTGGCATGTTAATAAATCTATTCTTTGCAAAATTGCAGCCTGGTTAAAAAAAATTATTTTTTTTCCAGATTTTGTGCAGAGAAAAATGATTGCACTGCCCCAACCTCTGATTCTCGATTCCTAAATTCAAATCTGGCTTGATTGTTTATACCCGGATCAGAAAGTGTCACCTGAACAGGATTTACAGTTTAACACGTAATTCCAGTTTGTGTAGCTTTTCTAGTAAAGCAGAGCTAAACAGATCCATCTCGGCACCATATGTCAATCAATATGAATGTTGCAAGCCACCAAGAGTCAATTTGCAGCCAGATGAGTGGCAAATAAATTTAATAAACACTAAATAAATTAGACACAGGTAATCCTCTGCTTACCACCCAAAATGTCTGTTGCTAAAAGAGAAAGGAAGGAAAAAAAAAACACCTTAAAACCAAGTTTAGCCTCTGCTAAGGCATGTCAAACTCGCAACGTCACATGACATCGCGCAATGTATCGTGACTTTTTCTCCATTGCCGGCAATGGGGAGGGCGCGGTTTTGGCGTGACGCATCCCGGCAGTTTGACATGCCTGCTCTAGTACAAAAACACAACTAGTAAAAAGCATGTTGTGTGACACAGCGAGTCCCTGACTTACAGCTATTTGTTTAGCGACCGTTCAAAGTTATAACAGCACTGACTTACGACTGGTTTTCACACTTATGTTCAAATGATCGAAATTCAGAGCCTTGGCAACTGGCATGTACTTAAGACGGTTGCAGCATCCTGAGGTCACATGACCCTTTTTGCGACCTCCTAACCAGCAAAGTCAATGAGGAAATCTGATTCACTTAACAAGGAAGGTCACAAAATGGGACAAAACAACTGTCTCTCTGTCCCGGGGGTGATGTGAGCGCCATTTGCAACCTTCCAACAAGCAGAGTCAATGGCTTTCTCTCCCATTCCTAAAACGACGACAACAGTCTCCTCTTTGCCACGAATGACTCCACAACATTCTTCGGCGCAACACAGGAAATCCACGTATCAAAGCAAACAGGATTTGCCATCCCAAATGTTGAGTTTTGCAAAGACTACGCAACCTGCAAAAAGTGCCCGTCCTAGCCACAAATGATGACCACCTCTACTTCTTCCCAGTCTGATGAAGAGCTCTGTAGAAGCCAAAAGGTTGCACTCTTTTTATGGCGAGTGTAATTACAGTTTTAATTTACTTTCCTCCCCCCCCCCACAATGGATCGGTATGTCAGTGTTGGTTTTGCCAGTCTAGCATCTCACAACAATCTAATATTTGTCATGACAGAGGAAAACTAAGATGGATATTCCTCTAAACCTACCAGAAATATCTCTACATTACATGGGAAATAAGCCTTGACAAATTTCAGCCTTTTGGTATGAGGTAGCAACATTTATTATATTTATCAGCTCCTATTCCACCAACCTGTAAAAACCACGCAGGCATGCTGCATACAGAAACCCATTTTTAAAAGTAGCTTATTTTATTTGGGATTATAGGACTGGGAAAACCAAGGCCTAATTTTTAGAAACCCATAAGATACCAAATCAAACTTAGTTTAACCAACCAAAGGTGGGCCAGTGTCCAGTTTGAGAAATCAAAATAGGAAACAATGAAAAATCAAAGAAGCGGCATGTGAAAACTTACAAAACAAAACAAAAAATCACGAGACAACACAAATAAGAAATTGCAAGCTGGGAAAAAAATCAGGAGGACAGAGAAAACCTTGTAGGGAGGCCAGACAGTTTGAAAACACAGTGCAAAAATGCAGACACCCCCCCCCAGACTTTTGGCCTCTCAAGAGATTGCTACAAATATTAAAGCATAAACTTTGGGGAACCACAAAACAATCAAACATGTTGCAAGAGGGAGATTAATCAGAGGAGAGCCCCACTTAGCAAATATAAACATAAACCTATGTTGCTACAATTCTTCCTTTGGTTTGGTTTGTGTTTCTCTTTCAGGGGAAGATGACAAATAAACAAAGAAAAAGCAACAAAGATTTGGTTTTGTCTTTGCCACACACCAATTCTCCGCAGGGCCAAGCTGGGCCTGGATCTGCCTGGTTTTTAATCCACTACTAGATGCAACAAAACCTGCAAAAAGGGGGGCTGGGGTAAGATCTAGAGTTAAAAAAAAAAAAAAACACAAATCCCATCGCAACACTGCACGCAATTTTCCTGAAAGCAACCTTTGAATTCAACTTCCTCCCAAACATCTCGTGTGTCACCGGGTTTGGACAATGTGCACCCCGTTTTTTTTTTTAAATAAAAAACAACAACAACAAGCCTGGGGTGGATCTCCTGACTTCCCACATCCAAAATCCAGGATGTGGATTTTGTGCTTAAAACAGAAAACAAAGCCACCCAAAGAGAGGTGCGCAACGGAGACACGCTTCCATGTTTATCACCCACAGCACCGAAGCACTTGCGGCATGTCTTCAAACCAGACGCCCCCTTTTCCACCCCCACCCCCACAAAAAATACAACTGAAAACCTCATAAAAATGCAAATTTGGGCCTGGCTCCCCCCCCCAATAATAAGATGGCCTTTTTAAAACATCAGCTCTTCTCTCTTCGCACTGGTAGCGCATGAAAAAAAAGGAGATGGAAGCCATTGCTTGCTCTTGCTTGGGAACGCCAGGTGTGTCGTAGCGAAAAATGGACAGAGATGCCCATCGGATGCTTTTTGCAAAACGCACCAGGAAAATTAAGATTGCGCTGCCTGGTGTCCACCCAGGTAGCCCAGCGGGCAGTTTTGGTAGCCAGGGATGATGTGGGGAGGGGGCCAGCATCGCCCAGGCCTGGCTGGCAGGCGACACCCGCAACCAAAACAATGGAAACACCAGCTAACCCTGGTGGGAGAAAGCAGCAGGCAGGCACAGCAGCAGCACAAAATGGCAACACAACCACACACCGACCCCCTAGGGAGGGGGGACCTCAAAAGGCCAGTTCAGTTCAGATCCAGGAAGGAGAAGGAGAGAAGAAAAAAATAAAGGAGGAGGGGGAGAGAAATAAGATGCCATTAAGCCAGGATTAAATTTGTGTTTAAATCGGGTGCAAAGAGTTGTCTGCAAGACGGGCGGCTCTAGCCATGTTTTCAATAAATGCATAAAAATAAATAAGTAAAAGGGAGGGGTCTGGGGGTGGGAGTCAGAGGCCGCCAGGAAGAAGGGGAGGGGGGCTCAGACAGGCCTTGCCAGCAGAGGACGACCTCCAAAGATCCCCCTCCCCAGGTTTAAAGGAGGGGGGGTCTGGAAAGGTCTTTTGCAAAAATAATAAGCACCAAAAATAAAGAGTCGGGGAAGGGGGGGGAGGAGAAAGGGGGAGGGACCCCTCCCATGCAACGTCCTCGCACCCATTGCAAAAAAAATAAGCCCCCCCACCGAAATGCACCCCTCCCCTTTGCAAAGCACCCCTCTTTTTTGCAATATGGGGCGGCAAAAGCGGAGGGGAGGATGCTTTGCTTTGCACTGCGCTGCTTGGGAGGCCAGCGAGCCAGGCCGGGCCTGCTGCGTCTCCATCTTACGGCCGGCCGCCTCTCCGGCCCGCGGCAGAGCCCCCAGCCCCGCGGCCGCCCCCCGATGCCCACCTGTGGTGCTTGTGGGGAGCCCGCTGCGCCTGGGGAGCCGGGTCTCGGGCGGGCGGGGCGCCTGGGGGCGGCGGATGGCGGCGGATGGCGCGGCGGCAGCGGAGCTCGGCGCGGCGGCTGCTGCTGCTGCTGCCTCTCGGCGTCTCTTCGACTGGCCCTCCGCCTCTCGCCGCTCGCCGCCGCCTCCTCCTCCTCCGCCTCCGCCTCCGCCTCCTCAGCGAGGCCTACCAGTCCCCGGGCTGGAGTGAGCAGCTCAGTCCGCCGCGGCCCGGCTGGCAGAAGGGGACAGCGGCGCCTGCAGGGCCCGCCGGGGAGAGCAAGGGGGAAAGTGAGGGAGGGAGGAAGGGAAATGAAGAAGAGAAAGAAGGAAAGAAAAAAGGAAGGAAGGTCAGGAAGGGAGGAAAGAAAGAAAGAAAGAAAGAAAGAAAGAAAGAAAGAAAGAAAGAAAGAAAGAAAGAAAGAAGGGAAAGGGAAGGAAGGGGAAAACGTGAAAGAAGAAAGGAAGGAAAAAAGGGAGGAAAAGTAAGAAAGGAGGGTAAGGAAAGAAGAAGGGAGGAAAATGAGGAATGGAAAAAGGAGAAGAGAAAGAAAACGAAAAAAGGAAAAATGAGAAGGGAGGAAAGTAGGAAGAAAAAAGAGAAAGAAAGTAACAAAATGGGAAAGGGAGGGAAGGATAGTGAGAAAGGGGAAAAAAGAAAGAAAGGAAGGAAAGAAAGAAAGAAAGAAATACGAGAAGGGAAGAAAGAAGGAAGGGAGGTGAGGAAGGGGAAAGGAAAGAAGACCCCAAAAAAAGAGAAAGGAAGGAAAGCAAGAAAGGGAAAAAGAAGGAAAAATGTAAACAGGAAGGAGAGAAAGGAAAAAGGAAGGGAGGGAGGGAAAATAGGGAAGATACAGATCCTTAGAATGAATGAGAGAATTCCTCTTCTGAAACTGAGATTATAAAATTAACCGGGCATAATTGAACTGACTACTGAATTTTTGATGACAGAATTGCTTGATATAAATAGGAAGGCTAATAACTCCAGATTTCTGCATTAAAACTGGGCTTTAGCCAACAAAATACGGTTAATCCCATCCTGGATTTTTCTTTTCTACAATATACACTGTCCGGGATGGAAGAAGCTCTTGCTTTTGACAGATCACAAACAGGGATTACAGAAAACCAGATCCTTTATCTTGACAATAGGAATTAATTTACACTAAGCACCACCTCCCAGCCTGTGACTATAAGTGCCAGATTTTCCAGAGATCTATATATCTCCAAGGCAACTCATCAAACTCAAGAGAATAAATATACCTAATATTTTGTGCAAACACGTAGAAGAGTGAACAAGAGGAGGTGCACACTGGAAAACAATTTTTTTTTAAATGTGCATTTTTATAGGCTGTATGTGTATATAGATAATAATTAGTACATTGCCCAGAGGAGTTTGTTTTGTGAGATGGACAGCTATATAATTTTGATAAATAATAAATACTTAAATGATATGGAGTTTGAGTAATATTTAAATATTGCGTGTACAATTCAGACTTTAGCAATGTACAATTGAAATAATATTCAGATGGTGTGTATATAATATGCACTTTAACAATATAGAATTTGAATATTTAAATAGTGTGTATATTGCATACTTCAACAATATGCAATTTGAGTAATATTTAAATAATATTTGTATTACGTACTTTAACAATACAGAATTTCAATAGTGTGCATATAATACATATCTTAACAATACACAGTTTAGATGATAAGTCTTAATGCACTCTTTAACACTATACAATTTAAATATATAAAGAATACCTATGTACAACATACTTTTAACAATCCATATATACTATTAAAGAGTGTGTACATCATAATTTCACCGTCTATTTACATTAATACGAGTGTTCATTTAAAGCTGGGTCCTTCCAAGCAGCAGAAGAAAAATAGTAGGATAATCAAGTATGTCCACAAGATGAAGTCCTTGGAAAGCCAGCGAGCCTATATTAAGGAAACCAAGGAAATAATTGTCCAAGGATTTAGAATGCAAAGTTTATATAAAAGAATAATGGAATAAGAGAGTTGAAAGGGTCCTTGGAGGTCTTCTACTACTCCAACTCCGTGTTTGAGTGAGAGACACCATGGCTTTCTAATCTCTTCTGGAAAACCTCTAGTCATGGAGCACCCACAACTTCTGGAGGCAAGCTGTTCCACTGATGAATTGTTCCCACAATCAGGAAATTTCTAAATTGGATCTCTCTTTGATAAGCATCCATCCGTTGCTTCTTGTCCTGCCTTCAGGGGTGCTAATTGTATTAAAATGCAAACGTCCAAAAGCTCATTAAATAAGAACATATTAGTAAGAAGTAAGGAACAGCGTCTATTAGATTTTGATTTCAGCCTGAAACTTGTCAGGCAAAGCAATATTGGATCCAAGTCAGAATTCCCAGCTTGAACAGGTCAGCGCTGTCCAAGGTGCTACTGCACTGGACATTAAGTGGATCTTGCCTTACTTTCCAAAGCTAGGATTAAATTCTTGTTTAGGTCATGGGTGGGAAACTTCCTGAATGCCGATGAACTAAAACTCCCAGAATTTGGGGTCGTTATCAAAAGTCAAATCGAAGCACAAATTAAATCTCAAATCAAAAGTCAATTCAACTCAAATCTTTATTTAAGATCATAAACCAGCACAACCTGTCGAGAGACAGTCGTGTGAAGAGTTTACGGCCCTCCCAGTTAATTGGCTGGAGGGCTATGCAATACAATTCAATTTGATTTAATTCCATTACTTTTATTCCATTTGCCAAGGATATTCCCCCCTCCCAAACCCAGGGTCCACAGAAAATTCAGATGCTCTTAGACCAGCGGTTCTCAACCTGTGGGTCGGGACCCCATTTGGGGTCGAAGGACCATTTCACGGGGGTCGCCAAACAACGCAGTCTGCCATTTTTTTCCCTTTTCCTTAGCTGTGCTACTCCCTTTTATTCTATTGGCTTTTGAAAGCCAATAGAATAGACTCTCTTGAATAGAATCTAATTCTATAGGCTTTCAAAAGCCAATAGAAATTGTCCAGGCTGTCTCTGCCCTGCTGAGCCCGCCAAAAGTCCCATTCTGCAAACGGTGCTGCACCAGTTGAGTAGTCCTCGACTTACAACCGGTTGGGGGGTCACGACATTAAAAAGGTTGAGAACCACTGTCTTAGACAGAGCTTTCAAACTCATCAGCACTGATGGTAAAAGAATTATCCTTCCATCTGCAATGGTTGCTATGGAGACAGAAGCAAAATTCTTCCCTTTTGGAGGCAAAGTTGTGTGGACCCACTGCATCTCCCTGAGGCTTCAAACTTGTGAAAAGCACCACCAGGTCAGATCAGTTGCTAATGGCCACCACCCCAAAACATTCATCGTTCTACAACTAAGCTCTTTTCCTGAGTATAAGAAGGAAAAAACAAGACCAAACTTGTCAGACCCTTTATTACAAATTAAATTCCAGTTTTATCCAGTGATAAGGATTCCAAAGATCATTAGATCCCCATAATCTCTTCTAGATCATCCAGTGTAGTGGATGATTATTCAAACTATGGTTTATTATTTATTGATTATTCAAACTATGGTTTGAATAAGCAAGCCATAGAGGCCTCATTTGCACAAATTATACACTGCTTGAACCTGATCAAAAAGCATTCATTTGCTTAAAGGAATCCTAAGTCAAGGTTCCTTCAAACAATATTACCACATAAACCACAGCTTATTCATTTGACACATCTCTTGGTTATAAAGTAGGGTTTACAATGTTCCTTCACCCCATTCAAGGCTTAGCTTAGTTTCAATTATATCACCTCAGCCATTGTTGTTCTGCTTTATGGCTTAC